TGAAAATGGTGTACAAGCCACTCGAATTACTGACCTGGAGCGTGAAATTCTCGATCTTGAGCATGACAACGCTAATCTTCAGCAAACCGTTACTCTTCAAGGCAATCAAATTGCCGGTCTGGGTGCCCAAGTCGCTGATCTATTAGCACGAATGGCCAGACTTGATGGACAACTGAATCCAGATCAAACACCACCGTCCTCACGTTCGGTTTCACCACAGCCAATTCCGCTCCCATGTCTACATCATCCAACAGGGATAAATATCCCATGTGACAAATGTTTCCTGGAAACGCAAATTCTACCTCAGTTTAATATGTAAGTAATGAAATATTTTATGAATTTCATCATCAGTTCGGGCTCTAAATCATTTCCTATTTCAATTTTAAGGATAAACGGTATCCATGCTCGACTGAGATGAATGACGGACGAAGTTTGTTTAAGTGAAGGTATTTAATATTGATATTGTTATTGATACATTTGTAGTATCGATCTAATTTTCCTTTGAACATCATTTTTATCAACAGTGTAAAAAACTGACGATGCCCCTTGAAATCGAGTGCCTGAGCCGAAAACGAAGATGTGTTCCAAGCATCAAATGTATATTAACTTGTATAGATATGTTTAAGTTCATTTGCCTTTCTATAATAGCATAATTTTACGACAAAAAATGACAAAACAAAATGTGTTCGGTCGATAAAACTGAAGGTAGATTGAAAGAAATAAAAAAAATATACAAAATTCCAATGAAATAACACAATTTTTATTGTATGGTTTTCTCTTTTTCATTGAAAATATATGTTTTTTCATGGTTTGAATCTCTTGAATTTATCAACATATTTCTGTGATTTGATTCAGTTGCACAATCTCCTGTTTTTTATACAAAATGAAATGTTGATTCGGTAGAGAAGAAATAGTCAGAGAGCAGTTCATTCAAACTTGAATCAGAGTGCTATTTCGATCGTACCAAGTCTTAACATTAGCTGGCAGCTCCTTGGCAGTTAAATTCAATTGTTTCAACGTGCTGAACACGGCAATATCACAAACATTGTTCGAATCGCCACCGAATGCCGTTTGTGTGTTGAGCCGTTGCGACAAACGCTTTAAAATGGACAAACGATGATCTTTTTTTGCTGAAGCCAATACCAATTCATACACCAAATCGAATAGAGCATCAATTTCCAGTTGCGCTTGAATCGAACCGGCACCAATGTTACCGAATTCAGACGGTCCAATCCGAAGTAAATATCGTAGAATGTTTGCTTCAGCTGAAATTGGAATGAATGTACCTGGGGCACAAACCAAATCCGTGGTCGGAGTATCTTTCCAAATCAATGACACATTCAGTGTTGGAACCGTTGAGTTTACTTTGAATGCACTAGCACGACTGACAAACGCCTGATTTTGTGCTGGTAATTCTTTGACACTTGAATGCGTGTAACATTCAATCACTAAATTCAATCGGTTCGTCCACAATGTTTGCAAACCCAAAAATGAGTACGGAATATTGGCTGCATTCACATGGATCACCAGTTGTTGAAGGTATTTTTCCTGTAATCGAAAAAAACGGAAATGATTGACGGAATTGAAACGGAATTTCTCCATGGTTGCAAATTATGTCACATTTACATCAATGGGCTTAATCACAGGAGCGGCTTTCTTCTGCATTTTCTTCTGCTGCACAGGCTTTTCAGTCACGCCCAATTTCGATTGCATTTCATTAAGCTTCAATCGCAGTTGCTCCAATTGCTTTATAATTTCTGATTGACGCGCTTGCAAAGAACTCAAATCATTTCCATTTGATGCCTGAAAAATTCAAGGGATTTCTCTTTTTAGAACATACTCTCTACATTGACATAAAACTATATTCACTAAATTGATTCGTTCGATTGAGAATTTGATTGAAAGTATCAAATGGATCATTTGTTTGAATTTGATGGAATATACAAATAACCTTGAGGAATTTCTCAATCTGTTGTTTAACGTCCGGCAGAGATTTAGTACTGAGTTGTTGACTTACAGCATCGGTGAATCCATTCGTCAGTTTTGCATTCGATGATGATGATGACTGTGAGTCGTTTGCGCCGAATTCGCTGATATTCTTCATTTTGTACATACAAGTCGGCCAATCCACCTGAATACTTGATCGGTCGAAAATCGGTTTAATTTCATACATCTTATTGCCTTCGTATCGGATAACCAAAGTGATTCTGTTCTCTATTGCTTCTGCTGAAATGAAATTCGAAATGAATTAACCTTTTATGTTGGACTATTTCTAAGAAAAACACACATTTTTCATATGCATTCTGAATGAAAAATAGCAAGCACCAGCGAAATTAGACACTTACAAATTCTAAAAATATTATGAAATGCACCACAAAAAAGAAATATTCGGAACACAATGTGCTGATGAAACTTTTTTACTATTTTTTTAACATTGTCGCAACCGTGTGTGTCAATCGGAGTGAAGTTAGTTTGACACTTCGAATGTCATTTTTTTGCAGATTGAATTCAAAATTTGAATACACACGAACAGATTTGGGCTAATAAAAATGATTATTTAACATGTTTATCTTCATTATATAAATTTTCGAAGCAAAAAGTAAAAACGTAGAAAAACGCTTAAACAATATGATGAATACCGATTATTTTGCTAAACTTTGACTTGAGACTTAATTTCTGATTGAGGCTCTTATTGCAAACTACATAAAAAATATTTCTATTGGAAAATGGGCTTCAGTTAAGGAACAAATTTCATTTTTTTAAAAAAATCCTCAAAAAACAATCTTAAATTCCAAAGTGAAGCGTAAGTCTTCAACTATTTTTTTATGGATTCAAGCATGCTCATTGAATACCAGTAAGATGCCGCTTAAAGCGCAATCACCGGCATTATCACGACAATCACCCATCAATCAAAGAGCCATTTACGAAAGACATCGATCGTCATGACGACGTCGATTCAAAGCCACGGAAATTCCAGACAAATGACATGATTAAAATCCAGCGAATTTCAATGCGATACTTTTATTGCATCCAGCTTTAATCAGTCTTCTAGGAATTTGCCTAACAGAGAGCAAACAGTGCCAAGCGGGATAATCCAGTGATAAACAAATGCCAAAATATTTCTTTCAACATAATGAGTTCCATTTAAATCCAAAAGTTGTTTACAATTTTGGCTACTGATTACTGAAAATCGTTTGAAATTCAAAAAACAAAAAACTCGGAAATTACAAAGTAGAACTCAGGGATGATACCGCTTTGTTGTTATTCATGGTATATTTTTCTGGTGGTCTATTTCAGGTGGTAAAGAAATAAATTATGACGAACTAGCAAATTGCTTTGAATTTCTCGGGATTGGTTGTACATGTTCTCCTTCTTAACCGAAAATATGGAGGTGAGTACTGGCTGTTCGATAAATTAGAGAACAGACCAGAATTTTAGGTTCATTGACATGGTGCAAAAGACTATCTGAGCTATTATTAGACCTAATGCTATTACCTGTTCTAATTCCGTGAATACTTAAGTCGCCCAAAACCATTTTTACTTTACAGCAGTAATTAGTTGTCATATGTGTGCAATTAGCAGCAATCAGCAGAATTTTTTGGAGGCTATAAAAATATTGCCTATACTTTGTACGTTAGAACTTTGGACATAAGCAGAAAAAAATGCTCAGATCAACTTATGACAATAGCTTGGATTATCAAGTATTACGGTAGAGCATTTCAAAGCTTATCGTCTGAGGCATTCAAATATGTTCATATGGATAGTTTTTCTTCATACAGATGACGTCTGTTTGTGCCAATTGAAGCCCATTAAATTAACTTAAAGTTCTAAAAAAATCGTATCATTTCTTCTGCTCGTGTATTCTTTTGCTTAAGTGGCACAATCATTTGCATGAGTCATAACAGGTTCACTTACTGACTCTCAATGATTTCATGAACGAATTTATTCGTTATCTTACGTGTGATTCGTCACTAGAAACAATGTATGCTAAGCGTCGTGTAAGAAAAAAACGTATCATTACCGAATGGAGAAAGAATAGATGTTTCAATATCTATAATTCTATAATATATATGAGAATATATTTTTCGTTTTTTCTGGAATGAAGCATGTCACAAACACACACAGCTACCGGAATCATTTTGAAATGGTTTGTATGATATTTTACGGTATATTTTGTTTACATTTGCCTTTCAGCAAATACATAATGCGGCTTACGAATTGTAACGATTAGTCATTTCCATGTGCTAGACTGGCTAGTCAACTTGTTTCGCATGCCATAAAATATATGTAAACATGAATGACGGAGAAAGAGACAGACAAACTAAATCGGATTTATCGTGGGGAAATGCTTTAATTGATTGTTGCGAATGGTGCAGGAAAGATGAAACGAGTTCAGACAGTTGATTGGCCGTGTGTTACATCTCGAACATAAAATATGAATGGAGCAGCGAAAGTTCACCGATATTTTGTAGGCTGTATTTTTTTTTATATCGCATCTGATTTTTTGTGGGGATTTCATTGCAAGTTTTTCTCTGTATTAATGGCAAGTTTGCGTGTCCGGACATAAAAAGCGAATCTGCACGCAAGAATGGGTGCAAAAGCCAACAGGTGCACTTTGTAATTGCAATGACCTAATCCGTATGTGCAGAATACATGTGGTTTGTGTTGTCTAATTAAAATAAAGTGAATGATAGAAGCGGTTTGAATAAATCAAATCCATTGAATGATTCGTCGTAATATTGATGATTCAACCGTGCGCTTTCCTTCACACAGCACACAGAAAAGAAAGAGAAAGAGAGCATAAAATCACTAATTTAAATCGTAAAGAAAAACCTGGGCGATAAAGAGAGCCGAGAGAATAATTTATGCAAACAGCAGAGAAAGAGGCAAACACAAACAAATACATTAAGACGGCGAAGTTCGGTTTGTGTTGATTTGTTTGTGTGTCGTTTGAATGTTTTGTATGACGAGACAACTACAAGCGTATACAAATCCATATCGCAGTCAACAAACAGCAATAACAGCAGCAGCAAAAGTAGCAACAACAGCACGACAACATATTAACCAGAACACAAACAAAGAGAGACGAAAAAATCTTTTAAAAACAACTGTCTTGTCAGTGAGCTCCATCATTTGTCCAGTAAACTTCATACCGTTTACATCACACATCAATCGAATCACTTGTGTCATTTGTCCATTCACTTTGTGGCACTGCGATAAAAATTCAAAATCTCAGGAGCTGTTCATCGTTGAACACATTTTTATTATTATTATTATTAATATTATTTTTATTATTATTGTGTAAGTGTGCTAATATAGATTATTATAATTCGAAATGAAAGAAAAAAAATTATTTCGAAGCGAGCCAATCACAATGAATAGATAGTTTTATATTTCTGTGATTATATATTCTTATCGTAGACGTTAAAATTATTTCGGTTAAGAATTAAATTATTTGTCAGAATCATCCAATTTAATTCTCGTTGTTGTTGTGTGACTATTTATCTGTTGTTGTTGCGGTTATGCTAAAATTATCATGTATAAAATTCATAATTTCTTTGTTGTCAAACACTACAATAACTTAATTATTGTCAGTGATTCATGACTATTTTTATTATTCAAAGAATTATCTTCTCCGTGTAGATAAATGTATTTGCTTGAGAAACCAACTTCCATTACCTCTCACTCACTCTAAAAAATGTGTCATTTCTTTTTTTCAGAATTAGTCATTGAACTTTGTACGTAAAAATAATAAGCGACAATGCTGAGAATTGTAGTGTTGGCTGTTTTAGCATTTGTTCATTATGGCCATGGCCATACATATCACACCGGGGAGTGTCCTTCAGTTGCACCGATGATGGATTTTGACATCAAAAGGGTAAGGATTTTTTGTTTGTTTTCAAATTATGTTTACTCAAATCTTTGGTTAACTAGTCTTGACATTTCTACAATCCCCTTAAAACCCAGCTTGTCAGTATGTTCAATATTCAATGAATATTATTCATAAAACAAAGTAAAATCATAAATGATCTGTATTTTGTGTGTTTTTTGGTAGTTAAAACATTTAACATTTGTTCAAGTAAAACAGAAGAAATCCTAAAGACTATGAAAGAAAAGTCCCCAAACGAAAATGTCACAATTTCAACATTGTAAAAGTATTTTACTGTACAGTCACATTTAATTAAAGTCGTAATACACAACGTACGGCGGTCAATAGCAAAACAGGAGATTTGTTCCTGTTTTTCGTTTATTCGAAACGCATCAACTGACCTTTTTGATGATAAGATTTCCAAGCGCGCCGACGGCGCGAATTGAGATTAATATTTTTGTTCTCTGTTTCCCCCCCCCCCCCCGTCCGAGCGTCAAAACTAACAGAGAAACCATACGTTTGAATATTCATACAATTACCGTTAAATCAACTCGGGTGATCGTGTAAACGTTATGGTTTACAACATCGCGCGACACAATCTTTTCGTTTCGAGTATTCATTTTATTGTATTTTTTATGTATGTGACTTTTTTTTCTGCTGCGCAGCACAAAAATCTTTTGTCTTTTTGTTGAAGCGTGCGCGCGTGCACATTTGCTGTCTCACTTTGTTCTCAGTACATTGGTTTTGCTATGCTTCCGTTTTTGTAAACTGTACACAAACAATGCGATAACATGATAATAATGTTGAAACCTCTGACATAACCAATTGCATTTTGAATATGTGTCTCGGAAATGAAAAAGATCGCCTTTGCGTTTTGATTGATCGTAAATTGAAAAAAATGAATGTGGTTAGAATAAGTACACGCGCACGAACGGAAAAGCATAATTTATCTATTTTATTTCATTTTCGTATTTCGACAGTTTTTAGGTGTTTGGTATGCCATTCAAAAAACATCCACCGCTTCGTCGTGTTTGGTGTATAATGTAACGCGTGGCGAGGAGCCCGGCGAATATTTCATCGAGCAAGTATCACAGCATTTTGCACTGGGTCTTACACCACTTAAACATGAATACAGCTATACCGGGCAATTGTCGGTACCCATTCCGGAGCTCCCAGCCAAAATGCGTGTTAAATTCCCGTTGAGTGAGTTCTATTTATAATATATATATTCTACGCTCAAACGAACCGAATCATTTGATAAGATTGACCAAGTAATTTGGTGTCTCTTTCTTATTCATTCAAAATAATTTATTCCTTTCACCTTGAATAATTTAGATCCGATTGGTGAGTCCGATTTCACGATCTTCATGACTGACTACGAAACCTATGCCGGAATATTCACATGCCAGAAGCTCACATTCGCTCACCGTCAAAGTGCAACACTCTTGTCTCGAAACCGTGATTTGGACAAGTTGTATGTTGACAAGGTAAGCTGATGACTCTGTTTTTTTTCTCTCTTCCAAACATTTTGCTTTGAGAAAGTTACTCAACCGCTTTCATTCTATTTTCTTTTGTAGATGCGCACCCGCCTCGGTTCGTTCAACGTTGACCCATACGATCTGAGTATTATCAATCAATCGGGATGCCCAAAGAATAACGAAGAAGAAAATAACTACAACATTCACATCGACCAAGAAACATTCTCAAGTCAAAGCATTGGAAATGCCGTACGAAAGGCAGGCGAAAAGATAGGCGATGGCGTCGAATGGACGCTCAATTCATCGAAAAAGGTTTATAATGTTGCCAAAGATATAAAAGATACGATTCTCTAAGCTAAGATAATTCGCAAACAATGACGTTTACTGCACGAAATCGAAATGCACCATCCCAATTCTTTATACTCGATTTATTTTAGTTAGAAGGATTGATTGATTGATTCTATTTTTGTTTTTCGAACTTTAAAACTCATTCAAATCCAAATTTATTTGCCAAAGCAAGCGAGCTTTAGTCTAAAGTCAATACTCTCCCAAGTGACATAAACCACACGATATGAATTTCCGAAAGACTTTAGTTTTAAGTAATACATAGATTTTATAGAAGACTTCGACCCCGTTTTTTTTTCTTGCGTACAATAAACGAAGATACGAGTTTTCGTGTTTTTTCATATACTGAACATCCGCATACTTCTTTATTACACATTTGTCTGAATCAAATAACGTTGTTTCTCATTACAGTTGTACAATCAATTGACAAGTAATTCCAACGATACTGAGGCGGAACAACAGGAAAAAGCTCGCCAGGGCTTTGTTCACCAAGAACCTAACGCAGAATGGGTTCGGTTTTAATGGTCGGTTAGGCCGGTCCCAGTAGGAGAAAAATGATAACTTTTTTCGGAAATTTTATTTGAATTTCATAATGGAGACCATTTCAAGACTATGTCTATATTCAACTGATCTGGACGTCTTTACTAGCGGCTAATTTGCCGTCAATGAAAACAAGTCACAAAATTGTGTAAAGCAATCAATAGAAATACAAAGCAAATATTTAAGAATCTACCGAAAATGTCTTTTGTTTAAAAATGAGATTTGATTCATTTATTTCGACCACTGCCACATGTAATGGCCAAAGGTAAAAGAATGAAAATTGCTTCGTAATTTAAATGATTGAATCACAAGCGTCGAAGCAAAAAAAAAACAGAGATACTTTAGTTAGTTGATTTTTAACACGTGAACTTGAATTTTGCATAATAAATCTAGACATTGTTTACCAGCATTTCATTTCCACACTGGGTCGAAGAGTTATTAAAAGAAGACATGCGTTCAAACTTCTAAGAGTTATGAAAACTACGCATTTGGTACACCGAAACATTTAAACAACGTTGAACCATGATTTCGGAAGGGCCTGGGCAATTGCATTTGAGCGTGGCACCGATGACGTCGTCCTCGGTCATGATCAGAGATAAACGAACGCTAAGGTTGGCCACGACGGGCCAGTTGTATATTTGACCGGTACTGATGACGTGCAACAAAAAACGCTTCTGAAATCTTTAGAAGAAGTCATTTTACCGTCGATAAAAATATGCAACAAAATTGTTTATAAAGCAATCAATAAAAATGTGAAGAAGAAAACGAAATATTTACAGAAAGAAAAAAAAACGTCGTTTTATTTTGACTGTGCGTATTAATTTATTCGGAGAACTTTCACAGATAATGGGTAAACATATACAAATTGCTTGGTAATTAAAATCGTTGCTTCATAAGCATGATTCATCATTATACAAAAATAAGTTTCTTGTCATATAAAATATGCATAAGTACGTTGAAACGCAATAACGATAATAGCATTTGCCCAGAAAAAAATATATCCAACATTTGACATTCATTGATTTCCGAGCATTTCATAACCACGTAATTCGATTTCAAATGCCCCACCAAGAATGCCGCGTATCGTTGTTAATGCACAACACCACTCATGTCTGCAGTGCCGATGCCGCACATTTCAATCGGGCAATCCGTGTACCAAAGTCATAGTTGACAACAAAACCGTGCGATTTGTATTTGGGAAATACGAAAGCCCAAACGTTTACGTTCATGTTTTCAAAATGTTCATGACGTGTCATGTGTCAAAATTCCGAAGACTTGATGTACTCTGCTGTATAGAAAAATTCTGTGTCTTTAATTCGTAGTACAAAAAGAGCGTAGCAATTCTGGTGTGACAAAAAAAGGGTGTTTGAATTAAAAGACATTTAATGTGAAATAGTGCACGCAAAACAAAAACTGAAGCCAATCGAGTGTATTTTTTAGTTCTTCATCCATCCAGTATATTTTTGTGTTTGTAGACAGTTTTGTTCATTCGGTAAATCAGACAAAAAAACCTGTGAGAGATAAAAAAAGAGACACACGACTAGTGAATCGTGAAAGGCGACTTGTTAATTTTTCTTTTGTCAACAAAACACGAAACAATTCATACAAAATGGTAATTATTCGGAAATTAATGGACACAAATTCTTGCAAAAGAGAGAGAGAGAGAGAGAGAGAGAGAGAGAGAGAGGGAGAATTAAAATGAAATCTTTGCGAATCGAAAATGTGTAAAGAAAGTGTTAATGATTTAGCCCAAAAAGCGTGCGGATATCAGAGGATTGCCACTTTGTTTGGCTTAAAATGCATTTCACCACCTGGATTTGCTGATGAAATGTCGCTACACATTTTGCAAGTGTAAAATTAATATCATTCACAATTTGTTGGCATCCATCAAATGAAAAAGCAGGAAAGTCTACCAATTTCGACACCATACAAGTGACACCCAAAAATTGTTTATGTGTCAAATCGGCTGAATTGACTTTCCACTCATCAAACATGAATCGGCGTGGCAAATCGTAAACCATACAATCACAACTGGGTACATTTTCGATTCGGCTGGATTTCGCGATTATCGGATTGGCGAATCGCAATGACACTTTTGTTTCGTTGTTTTTTTCTAATGAATTTTCTTTTTATATTCCACTTGCAGCCGCTTCGGTTGGATATCAAACGACGTTTGACGTCTCGTTCAGATCGAGTGAAATGTGTTGACTTGCATCCGACAGAACCATGGATGTTGTGTGCTTTGTACAATGGCCATGTTCATGTCATGAATTATGAAAACCAACAGTTGTTCAAAGATTTTGAGGTATGTCGAATTTTGTCGAAGAATTTTTCTTCCAATTTCCAATCCATCCCAAATTAAATAATAAAATCTCTGTGTCTGTTTTGAATAATGTGTTGTTTGTTCAGGTGTGTGATTTGCCCGTCAGATGTGCAAGATTCATTGCCAGAAAAAATTGGGTAGTCACTGGATCCGATGACATGCAAGTGAGTAATCAATAAATGTGTTTTTTTTTAAACTTATGAACCCGTCGCCGTCGCTCGATTGAATCAACTAAACTGACGTCATTTGCTTGTTTTGTTTTCATCGTCTTCGATTAGATTCGTGTCTTCAACTACAATACATTGGAAAAGGTTCATTCGTTTGAAGCACATTCGGACTATGTGCGTTGTATTGCGGTGCATCCAACGCAACCACTGATTCTCACCAGTAGTGATGACATGTTGATCAAATTATGGAACTGGGAGAAAATGTGGGCCAATCAACGCGTATTCGAAGGACATTCACATTATGTTATGCAAATCGTGTTTAATCCGAAAGATAATAATACATTTGCTAGTGCATCGTTGGATCGTACGGTGAAGGTGTGGCAACTAGGATCAAATGTTGCAAATTTCACACTTGACGGCCATGACAAAGGAGTGAACTGCGTTGATTATTATCATGGTGGCGATAAACCGTATTTGATTTCCGGTGCTGATGATCGATTGGTCAAAATCTGGGATTATCAAAATAAGACATGCGTTCAAACGCTCGAAGGTCATGCACAGAACATTTCAGCCGTTTCATTCCATCCCGAATTGCCGATTGTATTGACCGGCTCAGAAGATGGCACCGTTCGTATTTGGCATTCGGGCACATATCGACTGGAAACATCATTGAACTATGGCTTCGAACGAGTGTGGACGATTGCATGTATGCGTGGCACCAACAATGTGGCTCTCGGTTACGATGAAGGATCGATCATCATCAAGGTTGGTCGCGAAGAGCCAGCTATGTCGATGGATGTGAATGGTGGCAAAATCATTTGGGCCAAACATTCCGAAATGCAACAAGTCAATTTGAAAGCCATTCCGGAAGGCACCGAAATTAAGGATGGCGAACGATTGGCCGTTGCCGCAAAAGATATGGGCGCATGCGAAATTTATCCACAAACCATTGCACATAATCCAAACGGACGGTTTGTGGTGGTGTGCGGCGACGGTGAATACATCATTTACACATCAATGGCATTGCGGAACAAAGCATTCGGATCGGCTCAAGAGTTTGTATGGGCGCTGGAGAGCAGCGAGTATGCGATACGCGAAACATCCGGCACGGTCAAACTATTCCGCAACTTCAAAGAACGCAAATCATTCACACCAGACTATGGAGCTGAGGGCATTTTCGGCGGTTATTTGTTGGGTGTGAAAACATCGGCCGGTCTTTCATTCTACGACTGGGAATCGCTCGATTTGATCCGAAGAATCGAAGTTCAACCGAAGTAGGTTTTAGTTCGGTTTTCTATTTGCTGATTTTCTTTTCAGTTGATTGCGAGTTTACTTGTAGAATACACTATTCCATACAGTTGTTCTAGTTTTCATTTTATCAATATGAAATTTTTTTGTGAAATATTCTCTGAAAACTGACGATTTGGCCGTTATCGTTACAGAAATGTCTTTTGGAATGAAACAGGAAACTTGGTTTGTTTGGCCACGGACGATTGCTATTTCATCCTTCAAGTTGACACTGGCGCAATCACAGCTGCAATCGAAGCCAAGCAAGGTCTCGGTGAAGATGGTCTCGAAGAAGCATTTGATGTAGGTGTTTTTACGCTTTTTTTTTATTTTCGTTCCATTTGAATGAAATAAAAAAAGACACACATTTCCTGATCCGAATTGAATGAATCATTTAAAATAAATGTGAATATCTGTAGGTTCTCGGAGAAGTGCCAGAACAAGTGAAAACTGGTTTGTGGGTAGGCGACTGCTTCATCTATACGAATTCAGTGAATCGAATCAATTATTATGTCGGCGGTGAGATTGTGACAGTATCTCATTTGGATAGAACAATGTATTTGTTAGGCTACGTATCAAAAGATAATCGGTATGTAACATTTAAACTAAAATTTATTCCATATATGTACATTGTACAGTGAAAATCAACTAACATATTCCAAATTTACCGCCGATTTCAGTTTGTATTTGGGTGACAAAGAATTGAATGTAACCAGCTTTTCATTGTTGCTGTCAGTATTAGAGTACCAAACGGCCGTAATGCGAAGAGATTTTGAAACGGCCGATCGTGTGTTGCCGACAATACCAAAAGAGCATCGAACTCGTGTCGCTCACTTCCTCGAGAAACAAGGTTTCAAAGAGCAGGCATTACAAGTATCGACCGACAGTGAGCATCGTTTTGATTTGGCACTGCAAATTGGCGATCTAAAAACGGCCATCGAATTGGCACGTGAAACGGAAAATCCACAGAAATGGTCGCAACTCGCCGAAGTGGCAACGAAACAAAATAAATTCGATTTGGTGAAAGAGTGTTTGGAGCGCGCCAATGACTTTGGCGGTTTATTGTTGTTGGCCACCAGTTCGGGTGACGAGAGCATGGTGCGTAATCTTGGTGAATTGGGTGCATCGCAGGGAAAACACAACATCTCATTTTTGTCAATGTTCCTGTTGGGTGATTTGGATAAATGTCTAGAAATTTTAATAAATACAAATCGTTTGCCAGAGGCGGCATTCTTTGCGCGCACGTACATTCCAAGCAAAATTTCCTATGTGGTTGGGCTGTGGCGAAATGAATTAGCAAAAATCAATGAAAAAGCTGGTCAAAGTCTTGCCGATCCAGAGCAATATGAGAATTTATTCCCCGGTCTGAACGATGCCCTGAAAACGGAACAGTTCTTGCTATCACAAAATCGAGTATTGCCAGCAAAAGCAGCACCACAAGTGCCGTTGAACATTGAACGGCGAGCATTGGATGAAATGCAAGAGGCCGAAGAACATGGTCAATTTGAATACGATCCACATTTGAAGCTGTCGGCGAGTGCAGCCACCGCCAACGAAGATGGAATCGTACCAATTGTACAGCAACAAAACTTCTCAAAACCTTCAACAGATACAACACCACCACCAGCAGCGACGAAACCCACTTCCGAACCAAATATAGCCGCGCAACAGCCCGATTCAACCGCCACGGAAAAACGATCGTCACCACCAATCAAACGGAAAAACTCACTCGACGAATTCGAACTGGAAATCGAGGGCATTCAATTAGATGATAATGTAGATACTTCCGTAAGTTGAACTCATTCCATTCTTAAGCATTTTAAGCACTCATTTCTATTTTCTTACTCATGCATTTTGTCGCCTATTCCAATTTTTCAGGATATAAATGATGATGACTTGTTAAGCGAGTGATATGGATCGCATAGCTACAGTGCCCACACATCGTGAGAATTCATTTGAAATTTACACATATATAAACTATTGAGAAGAAGAAACAGAAAACAAAATAAAGGAATCGATTTTTCTAGTTCCAATCAATCATTTCAAATGTTATGTTCAATATATTATTATTAGATGTTTACATTTAATAAAAGGCCGAAATTTCTCATTATGTCCTTTTGACGTTTTTATTTCAATTCGAAGCTGTATTTGGGTTTCCATCCGTTGAAAGGTGGTTTTTTCCGTCGTTTCCCCTTGAATTTTCATCAATTAACAAAAGCCATAGCCATTGCGAAGTATATGACCAAAATTCAAAGATTGGCAACAACAGAGTGAACTTCTATGTACGTATTCAAAAAACAAACCCACTTTTGATCGGAACTTATGCCAAGTGGCAACGATGTGAGCAAAGGATTTCAACTTCATTTTATAAAGTGATCTATGTAATCCCGGACCTATAGTACAATAATTTTCTGAGGAAATAATATCCTGCCTTTCTACACATCCGCGGATGTGTTTATATGCGATAAGAAATATGTGTTCGATGGCAATTGTGAGATGGTATAATAAACATGTGTTGTTATTTTTTAGTATCAAAATCACGGTTCCACGGGTGTTTAAAACACCGAAATCTCACTGCTGTCAATCTACAAATGTTTTGGTTTTAAATCCAATGTCTCAATTTAGAAATGTGTACGTACGCTTTGGCAAAAAAAAAAATTGCGATTGCATTTTTTGCCATGATCAGATCAGTTGAAACTGCCATAAAAGTGACGTAAATCACCACCATTTGCATTTCACCGGAATAATTTTGCCATTTTTGTCGTCATAAATGTGTATTGTGGAATTTCAAATTTCCCACTCAACTCTCTGTTGTGTGGCACTGGCAAAGATTACTGCTTGTTTCCATAAAACCGATGTCGTTTTTTCCTTATTATGCTGATTTCTTGGATATTATTCTCTGGCAGCACACATACACACACAAGCACATACAGTCGTGTGTTTGTCTGTGCGCATAAACAAAACATTATTTCGCACGCATACAAACGAAGCGGTGATAACCGAAAACGCCAACGAATACTGTACCTGTGTGTCATCGAATACCCTTACAGTGTTTTTTTCCCTTCACTTCTTTGTAGCGTGAACATCTTGTTCATTCGACATGTATCGTGCGATACACGAAGCCGAAGTGTTAAACAATTGTCGAGTGTTTTTCTCTTTTGTTCTCGTTGTATCGCCTGTTCTGTGTGTCTGCGCTTGCTTGTGTATTTCACATTTGTTGGTGCACTGGCGCTGTGGGCACGCTATTTCGTTTGTCAAACGTAGCGCGTATCACATACGGACTGAAACAATGATAGTAGGATTTTTTCAACATTCACACACTGAAACTGAACACGAACATACACACCAGTGCATCGACACGCATACATTGGTGCGAGAGCCAAGTTAATAGTTTTCTTGTTCCAGCACACACAGCGACAACAAAATCAAAAGCAAAGGCAAATACAAGAGAAGTGAAGTAGCATAGCAGAATAAGAAGAAAGAACGAACGGCAAAAAGTACATACTGATGATGTTCGAACGTCCATATTAACAACTCTCTACGCACACACCGATGCACATTCGTCAATCGCAAATGACGACGACGACTACCAAGAAAAAAAGAAGAAGGCAAAAAACGAGCCGTCGAATCGTCGAGATATACGGGAAAAAAATTAAAACGATCACAGTGCAAGACAACAAAAACTCATAGAAAAAGACCAAGAGTCAGTATTAAAGAGCTGTCGAGAGTAACACATAGAGAGAGAGAGAGAGAGAGAGAGAGAAAAAGAGAACAAGACGTTTTCGTTTGCTTGGGAGAAGCAGCAAAAAACCAATTGTGTGTTGTTTACAGGGTTATTACCTGAACCAAACAACAAACAACTAGTAAAATGCTATAAGTGTAGAGTGTTTGTCTTTGCTTGCATTTTGTGCATGTTGACGACGACGACGACGACGAGAAAAAAATTGAATGTTAAACAACAACAATAACAACAGCAACCAAAAATTGTGTATGATGAAGTGTTCTTGCGTTCGATTCATGTCGTTTCGCGTCTCTCAATTTGACACATCGAACACCCATTGAAGTGTATATATCAGCTATAGTCTGAAGAATTCAATTTCCATGTATACACACAATCGGAGAAGAAGTGCAAAAAAATATCAAATCGAATTGTGAAAAGAAGAGCATTGCAAATAAAATAAATACACGCACTGAGTGGCTTATTCATCATAAGTCACAGCGGCTGTACACTTTTTTACAGCGGTGGTGTGTGGCGTATTTTGAGCAGCTAAAAAAAGTCTCATACACACCGAACAACATCAACAGTTTTACAAGTAAATACACGATTTGATTCATTCTTTTGTGAGAAATTTTAGCCTTTTGTCAATAAATAATAAGTCGATTTGGTTCGGGTTGTGTCTTCGATTGTGTTCGATTGTATCAGTTCTTTTTTTCATCTGGTTGTTTTTATGAATTTTTCTGTTTTTTCTATATGCTTGACTGGCGGTGTGTGATTAGAAATCGCTGTAAGGCCGTGAGTGTCAATTTACAGTGTTTGGCCGTGGATTTCATGCTGTGCGCTCTTCTCAACGTACAAGATATGGATTGTGTGTATGTGAAATGCATTAGCTCAGAAGGTTTATTTTCTTCGGTTTTTTAAATGGATTTTCTCAGTGCATTTGAATCAATTTATAGCTTCGACGAAGAATATGTGATGATAAATATACCAAATACAAAGCAACAAATGTTGGAAAAAGAGTATCGATAACAAAACAGAAGGAGATGTCCGTGTTTGTGAAATGAGAAACCAAAAATTTTATGCATTTAACCAGCCAGTTACTCGCTCATAAACACTTCATTCGTTCAATACGTACAAACCAAATGCCAAAACTAGAAATACTTGAATATGCTTTTTTCGGTCGATTCGAATTCATTACGAATCCAAACACGGTGCCATTTCCCCGTTTTCCAAAATGGCATGAATTATTATAAATAATTAATTACATACTTATCCTACTTATATATCATGACAAACGATTTGTTTTGACCATGCAATGATTCGTTAGCTTGAGTATTGGTTTTTCCTGTGTATCTAAATGGATGACAGAAATGAGAAGACAAAAAGTCAAATAAAATAAATACGAATCAATCATTTGTGTACGAAACAGAAAGAGAGGGAGAGAGAGTGAGCGCACAAGTGCAATGGAGAAAAAAATGCATGTACACACCAGTCGACCACAGGATACATAAAAATCAAAATGAAATAAGACAGAAGAAGACTAGTATAAATAATAATGACGTTATAAATAGAATGACTGAACAGAACCAAAGTAAGAACAATACGATTTGGTGTTGAAGAGCGCAAGAGAAATACCATTTTTTTGCTTCTCTCTCGCCCTCTCTATCTATCTCAGAAAAGTGTGTGTACACATGCAATGCACGGGATACCAGCGAACAACAGGGACATTGCAGCCAAAAAAGAAACAAAAAATTACGGGAGAGAAAGAGAATAAAACGCATGTCGGTATATATTGTACGTCTATTCTGAATCCGTACAGACGTGTGGACGAATATATGATCGAGACGACGCTATTATGATAGTCACCGATACGCGCGTATAATGTGTGTAAAGCCAAACATTTTGCCGGGGTGTGTTCGCATTGGCGCTTACGTACAATTGCAGAAGCAATGGCAATAATAACAACAACAACGAATGCAAAAATGATGGACCGAAAATAAATAAGCACTTTCGACATGGCACTGTCTAAATACAAAAATTGTCTAAGCATTCGCCAAATCTACGAGATGCCACCGTACTCAAACCATTTCAAAAGAAAATCGGAACAAAAACAAACGGAAACAAAATTATTATTTGTTATATTCGCTGTGCTGCCTACAATTTCTCCCATGTCATATTTCTCAAACGAGCGGATAATTGCGTTGAGCACAAAATTGAACTTGATTCGCGTCGAACCAATTCGAACGTTGCAATGCACTTTGCCAACAACAAAGAAATCAACAACCCCCTTATATTTTATTCGCATTTGAACCGGCGAATACTTTATTGATTTTTCAATTGGAAATCCATCGAATATGATAAATGGGCTAGACGTCGTACTGTTTGATTGTTCTTTTCACGTTGCCCGTTTACTGCTTTAAATTCTTTTGGAAAGTACTTTTTAAATTTATTTTGACTTTGCTTCTCTTCTTTCCGTCCCTTTCAGATTCATCCAATCTCATTCTTCACTCTCATAAATTGTAATATTATTTTTAATGTGTGCATGAAATCAAAGTGAATCGATTAGACGCGTAAACGACACGATGGAGGAAACAAAAGTTATCTATTATATTGACGATGAGCAAACACCATACTTAGTCAAAATTCCGTTGTCATCGTCTCAAGTCACACTACGGGATTTCAAAATGGTTCTAAACAAGCAGAGCTGTAACTATAAGTACTTTTTCAAATCAGTCGATGCCGATTTCGGGTGAGTCATTCGAATTCAAATCTCTCTTGTTTGTTTGATTTTCCTCCTGTTGATACGGGAGTTATACAGAAGGATGTTCCTCATGACTTTTTTTGTTTGATTTTTGCGTGTGCAGAGTGGTGAAAGAGGAAATAGTCGATGAATCAACAGTGTTGCCCGTGTTCAATGGTCGAGTTATATCATGGGTATGTCTATACAAATTGAAGCCAATTTCCGTTGGCCCTAATTTAATTTGCCTCTTCAAATGTCTACATGTATGTTTCCTTCTCCCAAAATGTTTTTTTTATAGCTGGTGACTGCTGATGGTTCAAATCAATCGGACAATTGTTCGGAGGTGCCGCATAGTGAGCAGGGCAACGGAGTAGGAAATTTGCAAACGCTACGGAAACCACTTGGACTGGGTGGCGGCGGCGGAGTAACCGGAAACGCAAATTTGAATGCATATCAGCAGCACCAAATGAACATCCCACCGAATCCGTTGACATATCAGAGTGCGTCGGTGATGTCAAGCGATTTGGATGCGACCAGTTTATTCGAAACAGAAAGTGAAATTACGTTAGATAGAGATATGACTGAATGCAGCAGTGTACATCGATTGCAAGTGCGAAAAAAACCGCAACGTCGGAAGAAACGAGCGCCCAGCATGAGCCGAACATCTAGTTATAGCTCAATTACCGATTCAACGATGTCACTGAACATAATCACCGTTTCAATTAATATGGAAGCGGTGAATTTCTTAGGAATATCAATTGGTAAGGAATAAGACAACAGCCATGTCATGTGTTGTCGATCGATTTCTGTCGTTACCAATTTTGCCTTCAGATTGGTTTCATTGTCGATAGAAAATTTCCCCAAAAAATGTTCATCACAACTGAATCTTTTTAAATCGTCTTTTTTTCCAGTTGGGCAATCAAATCGCGGTGGTGACGGCGGCATTTATGTTGGAAGCATTATGAAAGGTGGTGCTGTTGCTCTGGACGGCCGTATAGAACCGGGTGACATGATTTTACAGGTGAAATATCACAGCATTTCATTTACAATTTATGCAAACATTATGATAAGTCTATTTCTAAATTCATGTTGAACACTTTGCCGTCAGGTCAACGATGTTAATTTCGAGAACATGACAAATGACGAAGCGGTGCGCGTGTTGCGTGAAGTTGTGCAGAAACCAGGTCCTATAAAATTAGTTGTAGCAAAATGTTGGGATCCAAATCCCAAAGGATACTTTACAATACCGCGAACGGAACCGGTACGGCCAATTGATCCGGGTGCTTGGGTGGCCCATACGCAAGCGGTAACTGCCCAAGAATCGATCGGTTATCATCCCGAAATCGTAAGTATGCATGGGCATATGCACGGCACTGGAATTGGCAGTTTGGCTGGAACAATGACCAATCAACTACAAAACCCATCGCTAATGATCCAAGAGCGTCTGAATCGAAATAACCTCGAGGAAATTGTGAAGGCGATGACCAAAGCCGATAGTGGGTTAGAGGTACGGGATCGTATGTGGTTGAAAATTGTTATACCAAACGCATTTATTGGTGCTGATGCAGTGAATTGGGTGTTGGCCAATGTTGATGGCGTAAATGATCGGCGCGAGGCGAGACGCATCGTTTCATCGATGCTGCGAAACAATCTAATCAAGCACACAGTCAACAAGCTCAATTTTTCCGAGCAATGCTACTATGTGGTGGGTGATGGATCGAGACAGATGCGAATAGGCCCTGAACTGGACACTGATAGCCTGGCAAGTGATATAGCTCCACTTCCTAATCCACCTGTGTACATGCCCTACTCAGGAACATACAATACAAGTCATGGATATCAACCAATTCAATACGGTCATGGCGAACGTCACATATCATCCGGTTAGTCAATTCCATTCATCATTTTTACTATCAAAATTCATTTGCTCAATACCTATTGCTTCCGTTTGGTCTTGCATGAACAATAACATGTGTATTGACTTATTCGGCAAAATATTTCATAACCGGATCAAAATTTTTATTTCACAGGCTCATCTAGTTCGGATGTACTAACTAGCAAAGACATTTCTGCATCGCAAAGTGACATTACATCGATCATTCACCAAACAAATCAAAGTAATTATCCAATCAAATCATTTCATATGTATTACGTTCATTTGTCTATTGTTTATTTTTTTCCTCTTCAATACGTCATTTGTAGTGACTATAACAAACGGATCGAATAAGTCATCGGGTTCGTCGCATCGTGAACACTTGGCTTGTAGTTCAAATGGGAATCATGATGAGGGTAAATATTTTCTCAACTAAATCACACAAAAGTGTGTTGATGTCTGTCAAACAACAGTTCTCGTGTTGAACACTCTCCAAATCGATCTCATTCACATTAAGATGCACCATAATGGATTTTTCGTTTAGTTTAATTATTTGTTGTAATGAAAACTGTAACACGACCAATCACAGTCACAATGATTACTGGCCAAATATAGGAGCAGCTCGTTCGTATCGTTGGCGAAATATTGTCCAGGATAAAGTTATATACATATAATTCCTTTTTTGTCACTAACAATATGAATGTGAACCCGTATTTGGCGATTGGTGCGAGAAAACAAACCAGAACAAAAAAGTTTCCAGCTGAAATCTATGGCTGCACCTGTTCAACTGGAGAGCGTTCAAATGTATCTAACCGTTACAGTTTTACGCTAACATATAGTTTATGCGCAATTTGACTAACCACTTTTTTCTGTTTAACACTCTGTTCAACCACTGTATTGATTTTCCCATGTTTGCAAATTCATTTTCTAATTTCTCACATCTCGTTTTTTCAGTTTTTCAGTTTTTGTAATTGTTTATTGCGACACGAAACAGAAGAGGCACTTCTAGATAGCAAATAACACGCAAGGCAATGCAAAATGATATGTAATGAACCAATTCATTCATTCCACTCTCGCGCACTTGAGTGCCATTTTTGTTTCCATTCACTTTACACTTTTAGTCATAATTTGTATAATTTACAAAGAAACCAATTCGATATCAAATTTCGGTTTTTTAATTTTATTCAGATTTTTGCTGTATATAAAATGTTGCTAACAATTTAAATTTTCTGCGTAAAACAATTTTGGCATACACGTACACATAATTTTTGTTTTTTTTTTATTTCAATGTACAAAACTAAGTAGAAATTCAGTAACGAAAAATGCAATTGAATTTCGACTTATTGTGGCAGCTTCGCCTCATCATCTTGAGCAAATGTTGCTTTTTGACACAAAAAAATGTGTGTAGTTATTATATCATCTCTAGTAAAATTGAATTGCAGTTAGAAAGAAAATTCATTGATGGACAGCCATTCGCTCATTCTTCATAACGTGGCAGATAATGTTGGCCGTCGAACACGTTCGAACGCTTGTTCGTTCGTTCGACATGGTTTTAAAAAAAGGTTTTGTTCGTTCGTTCGTTCGACAATTTGAAAAAATATTTTTTTGTTCGTTCGTTCGTTCGTTCGACATTCATTTTGTTCGATGTTCGGTCCGAACAAAAAATTTTTACATTAGAAAATTCGATTTATCGATCAAATTTATAATGTAATCGTTACAGCTCATGCTTTTATTAGCTTTTATTATAATTTTTCATAGTAATACCAATTTTATTCGGGAGATTTTGAAATGAGAAAAACTTTGTTCGGACCGAACATCGAACTGAATGTCGAACGAACGAACGAACGAACGAACGAACGAACGAACGAACGAACAAAAATTTTTTTTTTTTCTAAATTGTCGAGCGAACGAACGAACGTTTGAAGCCATCACTAGTGGCAGATGTACGTATTTTGTATTTTTGTTTTTCCCCATTTCGCTATTTTTTTTTAAATTAAAATTGTTCTTCATTCATGTTTTTCTGTTTTGTTTTTAACAATAAGTTTATGGTTTCGTTCTTATTCATTGTTTCTTTGTGACGGGATGCAATTCGTATTCGATGATATTTCGCACACCACAAAATTCACACTACACGATGCACACTTTTCATTTGGTTGAGGATTACCAATTCAGAAAAAAAAACAAATTTCAAATCGCAATACTATTATTTTAATCAAAACGTTTACTTTTTTTTGTTCCATTTTTGAATCAGACAAATAAAATTGGTATTGATCACAGTTGACTCAAATAAATTACTCAAAATCAACGAAAAAAACGGTATCGCCAAAATGTGGATATGGAAAGTTGCGATCAGTTGAAAAGCTCGAATTTGGATGGTTTTTGGAATGCGTCGCATAACGCCAAAATTAAAAATTTGCTTCAGCTGAAAAAAGAGTTAACATACAAACCACTAATTTCATATTTTAATTGCTGCCGCAAAATAGTTAGAGAGCAAAAGAGGGCGAGAAAAAAAACAAAACAAAGAAAATGATACCATTTTTTCGCGAATTTTTTATACGAAATGAAAAAAAATAAGTCGTAACAATAGTGATTTTATGAGCAAAGCCAAGTTCCCAAAAAACGAAACGAAAAACAACTAAATTTTTGTACGGATTTTTGCCACAAATTATTATCCAAGACTCACACAATCAGGGGGAAAAAACATAAAATTTCACTCTCAAATCTAATGCGAATGGTTCGTTTTTTTCTTCGTGGACCAGATATGATTCCGTTGAGCCATTCAAAAGAGGAAAATAACAATAAATTCTAAAATGCCATGTTTAAAAACTACTATTTTATAAGAAAATAAATGGGAGATGACACAAACACCTACTATATATATACATACATAAATATTTTAATCATCCTTTTTCGCGTATTTCGGCTTCAAAGGAAATGTTGAACAAAATAACACAACACTACACACGCAGTCCTTTATTTATGCATATAATCGTAACATGTGTACATTTAAAAGAAAAATCTAGGTTTTAAACAAGAAAAAGTGAAGAAGCAGAGATGAAAAATGTTTTTTTTATCTTCCACTTGAAAGGAAAAAATAACATTGTGAAACATTGTTTATAACCTTTTTTAAATATATTTTTTCGTTTCATATCTCTCGGTAAGTGTATTGAAAAAAAAAATCAAGAAAAAATATTTTATGTTGAATCCAACCATGCTTTTGAGAAGATAGTTGATTCGTTTAGTCAGTCTTTCGTTAATGTTTTAAAATCCTTTTTTATTTGGTCTTTAAAAAAAAGTAGACGTATCGTAAGCCTATCGAACATAAAAAAATGAAGTTAAATGTTGTTAGTTTAACGATCAGAAATCAGAAATGCTAGAAATATTGAGAAAGAAAAGAATGTGCAAAGAATGAAAAAAAAAAACTTCCGAATATTTATGTGTGACATATTTGTTGTCACTCCATATCTGCGCAAAAAGTGAAATTAAATCAAGAAAACGAGAGAAAACGAACAATTGCAAATATTGATAGCAAACTCGAATTTTTGATAAATCCTAAGATTCGATTCGGAATCTATTTTGCTTCAAATATTTTGATGACAAAAGCACAAAAAAAGTGTCCGTAACCAAAATATTGCAATTTTTCACATAAAATCAATGGCCTATATAGGAAAGAGTCATATCCACTGGATAAAATAGTAAAATCACTGAACAAAAACATGAAAAAAAAAATTGAATAGAAAATCTCCAAGGCCGTTTTGAATTTTTATAAATAAATAAGAAGTTTAACGCAAACCGTTTCGGAAATTAAACATGAAATGCATAAGAAAATACACACAGGGTAAAAAATGATGATGATGCGCGCATTCAATTCCAATTTTATATTCAAATAATAAGGAACAACAAATGCAATGAAACGATAAAAAAAATAATCCACACACACTCAGTTAAAATTTAACGTACACACCAAACCACACAAAATGGCTTTTAATTCACCAGATTGAGGGAGAAAGAAAAAAAAACGAAACATAAAACAAGCACATGCAACTAAGACGGAAATTGCGGCATGTGAGTAAAAAACAGCAAAACAAGTGTACATTTTCAACTATCAACTTAAAAGAAACAGATGAAGCAACCGAAAATGAAGAGAAAAGAAACGAAAATGAAAGAAATATTAATTAATTAAGAGAAAACAAAAACGATACAAGCGTGTGCACGATGGAATTTTTCGATTTGTGCACACCGAATTACGAAATGAAAATACAGGACTTTAATTTAATATGTTAATTTTAAGTTATTAACTTGCCAATAAATAATTAAAAAAAAAAACTTTATATTAGCATATTATGACGATGAATAAATATTTTTAAAAAACAAAATAATTTTTCGGGTAACTTTTTTATTTGAAAAAAAAAAAAAAAAAAAAATAAAAGAAAAGAATAACTCTAACTGGTGTTCAAATACTTGTTGTTATTGCTGCTGAAATAAAGATGGGATAGAAATCGGTAAAGCAGATTCTCAGGTTCTTCCACAATGGCAAACTCATGAAACTGTCGTATCCATGTACATACGCCCACGTACTTACACTTTGCAACTGTGAGGTGAGTTTCATTCAATCCAAAAACTGTGTGTATGAAAAGCACATTGCACACCTCATTTGATGTTTTGAATGAAATAAAAGAGTCATGTTGTTCATATTTTCTATGTTTAATTTCTGGTATAATAATAAGTTATGTATATAAATAGCAAAGGCACATACCTTAGGCTCAATTTTATGTTATTCAAACATTTCTCATTCATCTCATTATGAATCCGTTATGTTGCATTTTTTTTTTAATATTTTTATATATATATTTTTTAAATTAAATTCTCAATTAGTTCGCTTTTTCTTCTCAATTGTATTAATCTATGTCTTCTAGCATTGTATATGCAATAACAATTGTTTTTAATTGTTTTGAAATTGTAATTTGTTTTTGCTTGTCGAAATGAATCGGTCGCTATATGATTTCCATTATCAATGTATGTATTTGCACAGTAATAATAGTTTGAGCATAATAATTAATTTTCAATATTTGCTTGTTTTGTTTCCTTTTGATTATAATCAATCATAATTTCGTCAGTTTTAATTATTTTGTCCGAATTGGTAAATCTCCTGAAAACGTGAACACGGTCGATTTATGGCACTAAAAATTCTATTTGCCGTTTGTTCATCGAAAACGGTCTTTGATGTTCACATGAGCCTTTTTTGTTTGTTTGTTTGAATAGAGCTAGATTATTCTACCATGAATTTTACTGTTCATCTGATTTTAAGTACTGAATATCTTATCCCCTCCGCTGAACTTGCTGAAATTTACACAATTTTCTTTATTATTTGATTTCTTTTGTTTTTATCTATAAACTAAACGTTGCAAATCTAGTGAGTGTAAGTTGCTAGCAAAAGATTATTGTTCTTCATCTTGGGGGACACTTGAGGAAGACAAGTCGCATTCGCACCGACACACCTGACACTTTCCAACTAAACATTTTCACTCATCTTCAGTATTTTTTTTTACATCTCCTTCTGTTGTTTTTTAGCACACATTATTGGAAGTAATCGTAGGTTTTTTTTAAAAAAATTGTTTTTGTATTTGTCTTGTTGATTATAATTATTATCATTTAATAAATGGTCTAAAGCTACTCTATGCGTGTTTTTTTTCTTCTTCTTGCTTGTTGCTATCGCGCGCATTGTAATTAATACATGCACTACGCAGTGCTCAGTCGTATGAGCATTAACTGGAAATTCGACCCGTCAAATTAAATTCTTATATCATCGGCTGATATTTTTTTTTCTTCTAAATTCAATTACGGAGTTCATTTTACATGGAAATCGAATGTGCCAATGCATATTTGCAACAATTCATTGTCCCTTGTGCTTTTAGTCCCTTGTAAAATCATTGGGCATTTTTTTTTCTCTCATTCGATTTCACAAGTAGAATATTTTCCGATTTAGTTTATGTATGGCAAATCGAATGAGAAGATTTATCCAAAATAAAGAATTTCATGTTGTCTGATTTAAAGGACGACTCTACTCGTTTGAAATATGGAAATTGTTCCATTTTTTCCACGAAGAAAGCTTCCTTCATGCTTACAAGTCCATGAGGCATCGATCAAAAATTGGATCATTCAATAAAACTGAGCGCTCTATGAGACAAATTCGTAAGGCGATTTATTCGCCTAATAATAAGTTAACACCGATTCACCAGAAAGGCACATTCTGATCAACGGAGTTTTTGTTTGTTTTTGAAAATGAACAAAATACAAATGCTTTAACAGCATGAAACCGGTACATCAGAAAAATATATTCACAAATGGCATCACGAATTTGCTTTTGATCCGCATTTATTTTATTTTCGAATCGCAGAGAAATTCAAATCTGAGGCTTGGAAAATCGTTCATTCGATTTGTGTTGTTGTTTCGTTTTTTCCTTCACTTTTAAATACTTCTGAAGAGTTTTTTTTTTCATATCGGCTCTAGGCACTTTTCGCTTATTGTTGATGACCTTCAAATGTACATGAATGACCTAGATGTCTGTATGATTTTTTTTTCTTCTGTTTCTTTTTTCGAATATAAATATGATTCAACAGTCCTACTCTCTAGTTATTGCATATGGTTTTTAAGCACTAAATCTTCTTCTCATCTCGTTAATGATTCTCCTAAATTAAATATATATAGATGTGTGTGTGTGTTTGTTTGTTTGTTTGTTTTGGTTTATATTTAAAAGCGCTTTGATTATTAGTTGTTGTTTTGTATTTCATCCGCAATGAATATGAATGGATTATTATTATTTGTTTCGATATAGATTCGACTAAAGCCATCAACAGGAACATAGCAAGATTATCATTCATTCATTTTTGGTTGCTTTGAGTGTTTCATTTTTTGACCTGGCAAAGGATGGGATTATATATTTATATATAAACCTAAAGCAAAGAGCTATATAAATTGTGCCATTGTAAAAATTACGTCTGCAGTCGAATGTTGAACATTTTAACACTGTTTTGCACCATATTTTGATCATTTCTGTTTTCATCATCATTCATTGTTTAGTTTGGCTTTTGATTTTCAATAAATGGGCAATTTTTGCCGGTTTTTTTTCTTCTTCTTCTTCTTCTTCTTTTTTTTATCACATCACGACTAATTTTATTCAATTGTTTCTCAATCTAATTGAGAATTTTTGGTTATCTGTTTCATTTCTTAAAACAAAAAATCAAACATACCATTATCAAACAGAAAGAAGAAAAAGAAAAACATCGTAACACTTGTGCCTTGACATTCACACACTGGTGATTTTTGTTTGTTCGTTTTTTTAAAATTTAATTTAAATACAATTCTAATGTCTAACTATGTACAAAAAAGTTTCAACAGCGAAAAATTTGTTTCTATGTGTGACTCTATATCGTTAGGTAGCACGACACAAAACCAGAAATGAATGATTGGAAACTGCAAAATGTTCCGTATGTTTGGCAACGACCGATGCAAGCGAATTGGCCGAACGATTAAAAACACCTAAACGAGATAATCAACATGCCAATACGAGTCAAAAAATAGTATTTCAGTAACGGCATTGGTTTTTTAATATTTAATTCTCCATTTATCGATTATCGTCCTCTCGAATGGTTTGACCTCGAGGTAACTCATCTTACATTCTTATTGGGGCGTATTTGTGTGTATGTGTGACTTAATTTTCATTGTGCGCACCTGATGTATTTTTATCCCCTGAAAAAGTATACCACAATAAGAATTGAGTTCGTGCGCACAACATTCGGCGCATTTTTATGCTTTCTTCAAATCGATTTTCAGAACATAAAAAATCCAAAATGTAACAAATCACATGGAGTCATTTATAACGAAATCAACTGAACTGTGGTTTGGTTTTGTTGGATCTCTGTTTTGTTCATGTTTAATTTTCCTTCCCATCTTATCCCATTCGGCAAATTTGTTTAACTCTGTTTAATCCTACTCTATACAGTTTCCTTTTCTCTTTCAATCACTCATGACAACTACGAATCACTTATTCTATGTGTCATTGTTGTGTCAGCATGAAAAAGCGTCGTGTTTTTGTTGGTTTTGTATCATTGGACTGAGATCATTGACAAGGTTTTTTGTTTGGCCTCGTGTATCATATTGACAAAATAAACTAACTCGATCCGTCTTCTTCTCTGTTTTGCTCTCTATCGGCAAACGCAACAGTAGCTTGGATGGTTTTAGGGTGGATTAAATCGATCGACGATTCATCTCAGTTTCCCACAAATGAATTGGCTACGATTGCGCGGTACGACTGACGCTATTCAAGATCAAGTTGTGATTGATTGTGTTGCTGTTGCGAATGCTGATGCTGATTTTGATCATGCCGAGTTGTACTGTTTTGTTGTGCAAAGTATCGATCTGTAATTTGAAACGGAACAAGTCAACAATTTTGACAGAAAACAAGATGGAGAATGCACACGTTCAAGATTTCACAATACCAGTTGTAAATTCTTCGAATGGATTTTTATATAGTGTTGAACGATAAACCATACCTTCTTCCATTAGAATAATTGAATTTGCATCGGAATTGGAATTCGACATTGTCGACGGATGCTGGGCCACCATATTAAAATCCTCTTCCAAAATCACTGACGTGTTCCATCGCGTTCGGGCAGTTGTGCGTGGAGCAGCCGTTATCGGCGTTGAGTATAAGCTTAAATTCGTTGGACTTATTACACCCGACATATTCGTCAACGAGCTGGAGTAACTGAACAACTGAAAGAACATAAATCGAATTATTCGATTCATTTTTCCTTGTCTAATCTCAAGCAAATGGCAAATATTTCAATAGCATGAGTTGATGATGAAACTAATTGAACGTAATTGATATATATATACATATACCTGGCTCGATGTACTATGAAATGGATTGAATGAGTACTCTCTTCCACCTGCAACAGCACTGAAACAAAAATTAAAAAAGCAATTTAGCTTCTCTAGTGTCGCGATGGGATCATGGGATTCGATCAAGATAAATTACAATTTATAGTGTAGTTGCTGTTGTTGATGTGAATTATGCGGGCTCATTGGCGGTGAACCACTGCCCAGCTCGTTTGTTTCGCTCATATGCTCCGATTGATGCGGTGAACTCATATTGTTTACGGTTGGTGGCGTTATCGATGTCGGCGGTGAGTTAATAATTGACAAGTCCCCTGTTGATCGAATTATGGCGACCGGCCGAGCCATTGGTGGCAGCGGTGGTGGTGGCAGCATTGAACTGTACTGTGAATAGTGTGATTTCGGACTTGCCGATCGTGCGATACATTGAGGCTATGAAGATTTTCGAAGCGAACAGTGAAATAGATTGAATCGATGCGGAAAAATCGAAAGGAATTTAGGTGAAAAAGTACCTGCGAGCTTTGTGGACTGTTGTCAGTTTCTTGGCAAACAAATGTTACGAAATCGGTGAGCGTGTCATGACCGTTGACATTATCCTGATATTTTGCATCAATGTGACCAGGCGTTCCTGCTCCATGACTTTGATGTTGATGGTGTGTTTGTCTGGTGGTATACACAGCGACAATATAATTTACATAAATTCACCACGAATTGCACACTCACCGCTGTAGTTGTATCGGTTCAGCTGAAATTTGTGCAGACTGCTGCTGCACCTGAGACTTGTTATCATTTTGTGACGTATGATAATCCGATGCATCCGATGGACTGTGCTGATACAATACACCAGTACTTGGGCTGAGTGTTTGTGTACTGGTTTGGATAAGAACTGTGACGTGATAAACGAAATGGACACATAATTAAAATTAAAAAAAATATAAAATAATTTTCAAGTAAAACTCAACAGACTCTTGTGAAAAAAAAATTTGATTTTGATGACCTAGATGGTGACTAGATTTCATTTTTCTCCTTATATTTTATGAGTGACCAGTGATTACAACAGTTCATTAATTTGGGACATTTTGACTATATTTCAATCACTAGTCAGTCATAGTTAATACATTTGGCTGACTAAACCGGCCTACTAAACTTGATTGAATTTGTTCAAAGTTGATTGAAATCGAGTGGAATTCCAATCACAGTACGTACAAAAATCCAGTCAAAATGTGCCAAAATAGACGGCTAACTAGTGGTCAATAATTTTTCAAGTACCTTCTTCCGGTCTCGAGTGAACGCCACTCAATCGTGAAGCAGTATGTGTTGAATATCGATGCGAAGACATTGTGTCGTGGTCGGATGTTGGTGTAATTCCGCTGCTGATCGGTGTTTCACCTGGACGAAAAATCACTGAAAAGCTTCCCGCTGACGAATTATTTATCACACCTGCATCATCCGAAGGAGATGAACATGATTCTGATTTCGTATCACGTAACAAAGGCGATCCTGTCGACAAAAAGGAATGATCATTTTATTTCCGCATTTATCTGTTAAGGCTGAGTCCAAATGCTCGGCCACAAATTTTATGGCCGGCCAGAAAATGAAAATTGTCATACAGCGACAAATGCCTCAAACTATTGGTGGATTTGGGTCCAGTGGCTTGCAATAGCCGAGAATTAAATAACCTGACATAACAAACCCACCTACATACGCCGAAAGACGGATTTGAATTTTTCTGGCCGGCCATAAAATTTGTGGCCGAGCATTTGGACTCAGCCTAATTGTATCAAACTACAAACCTGTCGACATGTGCATTGTGCGCGGATCAACTGGGAAAATAAAAATGAATTTCAAATTTGCATGGGGTTTGCTGCAATGTGTTTATTAACGAACACTTACTGTATGTGCCCGAAACAAGCATTGAACTGTTTCGATCAGCTGTGGAAACAGCTGTTACAAGTCCCGGCGAACTCGTTGTTAATGGGTAACTATTACAATAGTATGCAGCAATCGCAGCGGCACCACTCACTGAGCTACCGCTTGAGCTTTCTAATTTTATTGTCGATTCACCTGCGCCCACGAGGCCAGCGCTATCACCTGATTCGTCTAAGATCGAAGCTATTTCATAAATGCGAATTTCATATTAATGATTGGTGATGGACAAATTTCTTGCTTAATTTTGGCTCATACACCCCAAGCGCGACTCCACACTTAGCTTCTAAATGTGACACCTTGGTAAGTGTGAGCATTCGTCGTGCGAACAAGCAATAAAGAGAGTGAAAACAAGTGCGCGTGTATTTGTCGCTACATTGAGAAGCATCGCATCAGGCTGCTCACTACCACACGCGCACTTGTTTCCATTCTCTTTGTCGCTTATTCGCAAAACGAATGCTCACACTTACCAAGGTTTGGTCACATTTAGAAGCTAAGTGTGGAGTCGCGCTTGGGACATTTCAATTGAATAAATTTTGTTCTGAAAAGGAAAAAAACACGGTTGCATTGAGTGTCTAAAGTGTCTAACCTCTTGAAAGTTTCCACAGCTCTCTAGAAGAAAACACTCCAGTGGCTAAAATAGTATCGTTGCAAACAACACCATTGTATGGATTGTGGTTTCCTCCTTTGGAGGAGAAAAAAAATGCAAAATATTTATTTAGAAAATCGATTAAACTATTAGATGGACGAACATATTTGAGTCTCACCTTTGCGCTTTCGATCATTTTCTGTGCGATTATTGTTATCATTGTTGTTGTTATTGTTATTTGTGCCATAAAGTGGCGGACTGATTGAATCACAAGCATTGATAAAGTTGGCTAAATACAAATCGAGCTCGCGCACCGACACATTTATATGATACGGATTAACACATAAACTGGGATGCAAACATTCAGGATTCTTTTCCAAGCGTTCGCCATCCGTACTTTCTAAAGGTATTGCCTTAAATAATATCACCATAACAAGATCGAGACGCCAAACCTGTGAGTATGGGTGTGTGTGTGTGTTTGGATAGAAAACGAAATAAATGAAAAAAACACGAACTTATTTGATTGAACTATAAAAATTGATCTGCGAACTTAGATCGGAATGTTTGCGCTTACCTTATCGGCTTGCCGTAAACAATCGATGCGCCTCATTTTGCCTTTTTGATCTGGATTTGATAAGACACATATCGACTGACGTTTTCCTGTAATACTCAGTACAAAGTCTTCCCTACATTCCTGCGTTATGTCTTTCCGCAGCTTGCCCAGCAGTCGCGAAGCCCATTTCTGTTTCACCTCCGCTTTCTCATTCTAAATGCCGGATAACAGCATGCATTCAATTCAAAGTTTTATTCCAATTCAAGTGTTGATCCTCCACCATTCCACACCAAAGAAATAAAAAACCAAAACTTACCTGAAGTTCATCTTTACAATTTTTCTCTTCTTCGAGTGACATTCGTTTTTCATGTTTTTTGTAAAATTTTCGTTTGGCCGCTTGAAGATTGAACCATGTGTATGAGAATGATTTGACGAACGGCAAAAGTGCTTCGATGAATGGGTGAAACTCGTCCTATCCAGATCATATTATCGGCCGCAAAATATGAAAACAGAATATTCGAGGCCCCCGTTTCATCCAAAAACGGAGATGATTTTCGGTAGCAATCAAAAATTTCGATTTTTGGAAATTCGATTGATTTGGTTTAATATATGTGATTTTTCGTTTGGAAAACGAGGTAAAAAGAGATTTTTTTGTTGTGAAATTCAAAAAAAGAAGAAGAAGAAGGAGAGAAAGAAGAGAAATTGCATTATTTTGTGTTCTCACTGGGATGACACATTGATTCGTGGAATGCAAAATTAGACAAAATGCTAAAGAAAAAAACGGATCGGCAAGCGGGGGCAAAAAAGCAACAGAAAAACAACACATATAACAAATGTCCCAATCGATGCCAGGAAAGATTCATTTTATTCGTTCATTTCCTCGCTTCTGATTGTGTTCATTTGATTTAAGAAAAACACCGGAAGCATGCAATACAGCATCAAATGTTTGCGTTTCCATCCATACACACACACCCCACGAAACATTATCAAATCCCAAAAGTTTATAATAAATTCAGTCGTTCGATAATCTGGAGAACAACAAACATTTGCAAGTCATGAAAATTGTTGAAGTGAATACAGAACATTGCACGAAGCATTAGATCACACACTGAACCTTACGATCGTATTTAAAGTTTTAAACTGATTTTCTTCGTTCAATATTCACGCCTTACGCTTTAACAATTGGTACATTTTTTTCCCAAAGACATTGGTTAACTAGTTATATGTATGCATCAGAAACCCTTAAAGTTCAGTCCGGTTCAGTTGTATCAAGTTCTTTTGTGCTCTAATGACATTTAAAAAGAAACAAAGCATTGTCATAATGATGGATTCAAGACTAATTACTTTACCGAATATTTTTTCTTTATTTCTTTTCGTAAATAATCTCAATGAAAATAACGTTTTCTTCGTTTTATAGCTTCTTCAATATCTACTAATAATTTGTTCGATTTCCATCAATATGGTACAGTATGTGTAAAATGATTTCGAAGAGTGCCATTCACATTTAACCCTATAATGCATACAATCGCCTCTAGACGGGAAACATTTGTACGACTGTAGAACATAAACCGTACATCGGATCACATTGCTTCAAAGGAAATTTTTATTCGTCAATGTTTTCTCTTTATTTTTGTCTTTGGCAATATTTGTCTATGTAAAAAAAAAGTTATAAACAAAAATGTGTGCAAAAACAAAAATTTGACAAAATAAATTATTCGAACTTCAAATTAGACACATTTTTGACACTTTTAAACAATGGATTTGATTGTTCTCTGATTTATGTCAATCGCATTTCCTGACTTAATCATGAAGGATTATCCATGGCCAAAAATCAATCAAGTACCAGTACTCCCAGTCCTGGGAAAAATTAATGCATTAGAGGGTTAATAGATCATTTCAAACGCAAAATCGATTATTGAAAGTATAATTTGAAGCAGGTGTTATTATATAGAAAAATATGTAAATAGTTATCTTTAGTAAAGTTAAGTACAGAAAACCACATCAAAACATCAATTCTGACATCAATAAATGTGTAGGTGCGTGTTTGATTTGATAGAAAAGAAGAGAAACATATATTTTGAATGGAAATTAAAAAGAAAAAAAAACAAAATCAAGGTAGACAAAGTAAGTGTTGTTCAAATTGTGAACAAAGAAGATATAAACGCGTCCACTGTCAATTTCAATAAGTGACCGATTTTCTTTTTTCCACGAAATTAGAAACAAAAAATTGAAGAAAAATAAAATGGAAAAAAGTGGATAGAAATGAAAAAAAATTGTCACCGACGAAGAAAAAATGAGAATCGTAACCGAAACCAAATAGAATGTTAAGCCAGATTCAGAGAAACAAATACAAAGATAGAGAGAGGGATAGAGAGAAAGAGAATTCTGATTGAAAACATTGAAATATTTGACACAGAACAACATAAACGACATCAATAAAATAAAAGAAAAAACATTGATTAACAATTTTTTTCGTTTCGTTTTGTTCGTACGATAGGAAAATAAAAAAGTCAAATTTTTGTGACATAAAGTGTAAAGATAAGTAGAAGGAGGGAACATATACACGTACACGTACAACATCATTATGTTAATGACATATGTTAATTACATATGATATGGATTTCAGCTGGTCTGATAGCAGAAGAGCACAAGCACCTGTCCTGAGGATGGAGTTTGCAGATACGATGATACATCCGTTTCGATCATGCAACTCTGCAACGAGCCTGGAATAAACATATCGACGTCGCGAACAAATTTTTTGGGTTTTACCACGGAGTGTATCTCGTTTTTTCGTCGTCGTTGTGGTGATGGTCGTCGTGGTCGTCGTGGTCGTCGTTTTTAGATTGAATAAATATGATTTGCGGCTAGTAGTTATTTTCGAGGTCGTCTGAATTGCTTGCAATGGGCTTTGTTTCGGTCGTTGGTATTTTCTGTTTTTGTTTGTTGGTTGGCTGACTGGCTGGCTGGATTTGGTTGCCGTTTTCGATGTACGTAGAAGATGATCACAAACTCTTTTCAGCTACGTTTATACAGCACACCTGATGCTGGCTACCATTTCGATCTTACCTTTTCGCTTGGTCAAGCAAGGAAATGTCTCTCTTTTTCTCTTTTTGCTTGCACTTAAATTTACACACATCCACTTATTACTTTGTTGTTTCGATTATGCCAATCAAACTGTTTTAGTAATTTTAATTTTAAATCTCCTACCATTCGGGTGTTTTTTTTCCTTTGTAAATTAGTTAATATTTATTTATTTTACTGGCATATGTATTTGTTACAATTTCACTTTTATTAAATTTTCGAAATGTTGGAAGAATCAATTTACGAAGATAGAAAGTATAAACGTACAAATCAAGTTAATTTGTCGTAAAGGAGCAAAATCAGCGCTTCCATGATCACAATATTCAACTAATTGGCGTATCTCGGCATGAACATACTCGTAACGTATTCAAAATATCGGGTGCATAAGATTTAAAATTTTGGTAGTTCAAACGAAGTTAAAGCTTTTTGCTAAATACAATTCAATTCACTGTTGGGTGCTTGTTTCTCCTCTATTGCTTTGCAAGATAAATCACTGACTTTATTCTGGTGCGTGTGTATGTATGTGTGTGTGTTTGTGATCACAGATTTCTTATTTAAATTGAAAAGTCGTTGTCTTTATTTTAAATCATACATCCCACTTTTTGGATATGCTGGTCCTCCGAGCGTTGATGTGCTGCTGACGCCACTCGATCTGCAAATTTTTTATACAAAAATAAAAACTATTAGCTAAGTATTACGAAACATGAATTCTAATTGTATACAATTTTTTTTCCTAATGTCCAATACACAAAAAAAACTCATACACAATTCTAAAAAACTGCACTTAAAAATGGCCACTAAAATTCGAAATCGTTTTCACTTGCATAAAAGAAAATTTTGATTGCAACCAAATTTTGACACATCATTCGAATTTTACCAATGAATTCACGACAGCAGAATTGACAGAATGTGATCTTGGTTTGTTCTCTCAAAACACTTGCACTGATTGGCTAACGCTCTATGAAACTGTTATGTATCGATGTTAAACCTCACAGGAGACGACATGCGTCTCATTTGAATGCTCATTTGAATCAAACCTAAACAAAAGCTCTTGTTAGTCAAGAGCCTAAGACACGAAAGGCAGAGAAGAAAAAAATAAAGAAGATATTTGTAATGTCAAATGCAATCAAATCAAATCAAAATAGAGGATGTAACGAAAAAAAGTCAGCAAGTCTAAACTGAAGGAACGGATTCGCCAAAGCTATCGAATGTGAAAATTATGTAATGAAATATTCCTCGTATGTGTTTGTTTGTTGGTTTGTGTGTATGTTTTAATGAGAACAGCTTTATAGCAGAAGCAGCATCGAGTTTTGCATGATTTGCTTTTGTTGTTGTTGTTGTTGTTGTTATTCTCATGGTTGTATGTATCTTGTCTATACCGAAACATAAATATATAGTTTTTCCTCTATAGCGTGAGCTCGATCGGCATTATGTGTAAGACCGTTTGAAAATTTTGGACACCCGACCAAACGAAATGAAGGAAAAAAAAGAACAAAAACTAAGAAAATTGAATGAAATATACAAACACATCGATATAACAACACATTCGCTGCTCAGTCTAAATTTTATACATCAAACAGAGGAAAATTTTTATTCATGCTCATACGTAGAGAATTAGATACAAACACGCTCAACGCTCAGCACTCATGAGATTTTCTCTCAGCGCAAATCCTATATTAAGACTCACATAGATGAAATATAACATCAGACAACGACGCGCGATATCTCTAGTTATCGTATGAGGAATACACACGATTTGTGTGCAGTTTGAAATGTTACACATTGAAAATATTGGGAATACGACTGTGAAAGGCGTTAAATGCGAATGTGACATCGCCGTAATCGAAAATGTGTGCAGATTTCGAATCGAATGTCATTGTTGTTCACTCATTTCAAGCTATAAACGAACTTTTTTTCGTCTCTTTTTCCTATCAAATTGTATTCATTTGACTGCAATTTGAAAACAATGATGTTGATTCCTTCATTTGATGGCTCCTGTTTTCTTCCATCCAATCAAACCTGCTTATCCAATTGATACCACCGAATGGTAAGCATATGCTGTTTCGCACACTGACACTGCAATTGATGCTGCATTTAATAAATGAGCAAACGCAAACAGGCACACTGTTCAATCGATCTTTTGCATCGTTCAATGCTAACAATCATGTCGAATGATATGCGAAATTTGCCAAATATCTGTATTTAAACAGCAATTTGGAGCAAGTGATGCACCATTTCATGTGGAAAATGGGATGGGGGGGGGCGCGCTCAATCAAAGCATGTCCACATTCAGGTAATGTTGATGAATTTCGGAAATGCATAGGTACATAGGAGAGTGAGATCGAAATCTCTACACACAAATACACACACACATTCGCACACGCATGCATTAATCTTCCTTCTGATGTTGACCTCGATCAAAATCGCATCAATATTTTCCACTGAACTATTTCATTATTGTTATGTTATGGTCGTTCGTTATTTAATTCACTTTTCCACCAAGCTTTTTTGTTCATTTCAACGTCAACGTTTTGATTTTATGGTTGAACATTGAGGTAAGAAGAATAGAAGAGAAAAAAATTTATTTGCCAACTTGCAGCGTATCCAAGCTTTATCTCTCTCTCTAAACCGATATGCGATAAATCTCCAATTGCGATCTCAATCAAAACTTGAGAATATAAATAATTATTGCTTACACACACTATCACTCACACGGTGATTATCCTGACAAAAGTACACTTTTCCCATGGCCGTCGTGAACCGAAGAAAATTGAAGAATAGGAAAGTCTTTTTTGTAATTATCCGTCTGCTTCTTCTTATTCATTTTCAATCGCGTTACGTTTGTTCATTTTCCTTCTTCAACGACATTCGCACTGCGCGTTTTTTCTTTCGCTTCTTCTTTTCTGTCGTTTCTCTTCTTATAATTAACGAAATAAATAAAATAAAGACGATTTCAAACACTGTATGTACACTATACAAAAAATGCAATGAGCAAAAGGCTGGTTTATATAATAATATTGTGTATGCTTTTGATATTAAAAAGTAAATGTGTAGTCAAATACAAAAAAAAAGAAGAAATCTTTTTTTATTGTGTAAATTGTTATGAATGCACCAACGAAATGTACAACAGACACTGAAAAAGAGACACTTTGTGTGTGAAAAAGGAAAATCCGATGGGCACACATATGCGCGTCGCACACACAAACACACCGAATCGAACACTAAAGGTTTTGCAAAAAAAAACTTTTTCGTACAATCATTTACTGGCGATGTTTGGGACGGAAAGGCGAACGAAGCGCGCGGAAGAGAACCAAGAACGTGGAAGAGAGAAAGAGAGAGAGAGAGACTGAACAACAGTAGCAGCAAGGGAGCGTAGGAGCGAACGAGATGACAAAATGAAACAGGCAAACAAACAAACCGAAGTGAAATAATCGAAAAGAATAACGATAACGACAACGACGAAGAAGAAAAACTCATGAAAAATCGTATGATGAACCACCGAAAATACATACAATTGAAATCAGGCAGAAAGCACTAGCAAAGCTAATCAGCACTGCCGATTTCGTAAATACGTAGAAAAGGCAGCTAGTAAGTGAGAGAGAGAGTCAGAAGCAAATCTATCGAATGACGTTCTGTGTTTATACACATTCATAGGTAAACTGCTCAATGCAGGCATGGCCCTGTATACAACGGAGCCACCGAACCTTTTTTGAATTTACTTTTTCTCTCGATATTTTCCGCTTTTCACAATCGTTCGCACACGCAACAGTATTCTAGTTAGCAGCAACTGCCACAACGGCCGTTGCCCATGTCTGCCTCGTAATTTTCTTTCGTTTTTTTCCCTCTGAAACTAAAACTATGTTGTATTTGAGCATTGAAAGGCGCAAAGAAAATTCATTTAATTTTCGAATTACTACATCAAACAACATACAGATATAGTTTCATACAGCCCAACACTTATGCAAATCCATGCGGACACAACGACATGGTTAGATCTCTCTGTAGAATGCCTGATAGAGAGAAAGAGAGCAAGTGGAAAGCATCACCATAACTGTGTGTATATGATGCGATTTTATAGATATATGGGAAAATCATCATACGTATGCGGCATACCTCCTCATACTAACTAAGACACAATCACTGTCCCAACTTGCCTGACTCTCTCTCTCTCTCTCTCTCTCTCTCTCTCGCAGTGACAATGTATTCGACTATTTTCCGATCGTTGTATCTGTGTGTCCCGTCGCGTTGCGAACCGTGTTCGTAGTCGAACATACACACCCGAACTCTCTACGATATTTATATTTAGCGACATATCCACAGCACAATCGCCGAACGAACGTCAACGTTCACTCGCCTTTTCTCTCATTCTCTCTCTCACTTACACACGGAGTCAATTCAGGCAATATATTGCCGAATAGAATATATTTTCCGATTACAGGAAGCAAACTAGTATAGGTAATTGCGACTTTGTTGCATATATAGGGTGCAACATCGAAACATTGTCGATATGCATCCAATGCACACATCATCATTTGGGTGTAAAGTGACGGAATTTGCGTCTTAAACATCCTTGAGTCTTAATTGCTGTGCAGTGTGTTCATGGAAAAGATTTATTTCGAAATTTGATGGAAATTGCATTTGTGCTCGCATTCGATATGCTTTCGAATTTCAATGTTTCTTTAAAGTTAAGTCACACAACATTAATGACTCAAGTTGAAAAAGGATACAATTTGATTTAATTATTGTTCTAAATTTCGTTTGAGACGTGCATCAAAGAAGGACGCAAATGTGTGAATTCTCCCTTACAATACAAATGCGTAGTTCAATTCCTTCAGTAGCGACTTTTGGTTTTCTTTATTCATTAATTTATTGAGTTGTAAAATAATAAGGAAACTTCCCCATTAAACATCTCAAGACCATATTGTTGCTCCTATTCTAACCGCAATGATGCCTTTAGCATATCGATGACTTGTCGCATTGACTTCGAAACAGTGCAAAGCATGTGTGGTGTTGCAATTGATAGCTTAAACCAACATTTTAGCAAATATTTTCAAGGAAATGACAAGTTGGCCAAGTAAAAGTCATAAATTGCTTAATGCTTACACACACAAATTCATATTCAACATGCAACTTAATTTATAACATAAATTCCAACAGAGCAGTTCAGATTATTGAAGGATCCCTAACGTAGAAAGTGGCGCCACAGCGTTCTCATAGAGTCAATACATAGCCGGTGACAAGTGCAAACCTAGTTTAGAGAATTTTCTGGACAGCTATTTCCATTGAACAGATTAGTGCAGCAGGTACACTCTGTGACTGATTACAGAAATGTATGGGAAACCTAGATGGCGCCATGAGTAGCGCATCTTTTGCTGCGTTCCTTTGCCATTGAAAAGTCATGGAATCGATGCAGCAAAAGCTTATAAATAATTTTCAGTATATGTAAATGGACACGTCCGTTTTAATGTAACATTAATAATGTTCGTCATGATTTGTTTTGAGTAGCGCATCTTAGAAATTAAATGAATATTCAAAGTCAAAGAACGGTTGGATCGACTGCGCTGACCGACATGGAAACAGAGATCGAGCGCATCCCAACGCAGCTCAATTTCAGCATACAATATTTTTTTTTTTTCATCTTGTCTGACTATGAATTTTATTACATTTTTCACAATTTACGAACGGTGTGGTTTTTTCACAGTCTTTTTGTTTAACTTAGAGCCAGAAAAGTGTGAATTGGAATGTTTCGGAAAATAACCGGGTATAAACACATACATTGAAGAGAGTTTATTTTCGCCGCCATTTCAAAATGATTTTTATTCGCGAAAACAATCCCACCTGCTGTGTGTTCCGGTTTCGTAGAAAATTTCATGTCTCACGCACATACACACTCATACCCAGTCAGTTAGAACCTACATACAAGTAGAATGTTATTCGAGGCTTGAACGTGTGGACTTTTTAAATGTAAATGCCAAATTTTCAACAACACTCATAACTATTGAATGGGGATATTATTCAAAGAAAAAGAAACAATTCGATGCTGCTGGAATTTGTTCGGCAGATGATTGATAGTCTAAACTATATATGATCTATGCGTTCTCCGCTCCAAATAGCTTTGAATCAATATATTGAGTATATATACTCAAGCGCGATCGATGTTTCCCTTCATTGCAACTATTGGTTATGCGAAACATTGACACAACAAAGAGGTGACGAGTGAGCAGCAGATATTTCAATTTTAAAAAAAGCAGGACACTACATAAACAAACGCAGGATCGATTAAACAGGAGAATAAATATGCTACAGGAGAAAGCAAGCAAAAAAATTGGTCTGTATATATGTTTTGTTTCAATTTTGAATGAGGTACTATCACAGTGATTTCAAACATCATACAACCGAATGCTTTTCGAGTATTTTTTTTCCTTTGAGTATATTTTGGATCGTTTAATTTGTACATGATATATGAAATTTTTGTTTCTACTTCGGTTATTTAAATGTTTTTTTTTTCTCTTTTCCTTTCGTCGTTCTCTTCTCGACGATGAAAAATTATAACCGCCTGTGATGCGGCATCGGTACACGTTACGTTACGAGCATCGAACATCAAAATGAAAAATGTATGTCATGTTTATCTTTTTATTTGCTTAGTTTAAAAAGTTTATATGAGCTGCGGTCGCAAGCAGGCAGACAGGCTATGAACAAGAGAAAATCGAGTCAAAAGTAGTGGCTCAAACTCACAATTAATCAAAGGAAGCATTGGCATAGCCGAATACGAAAAGAAGAGAAAACCCCATCATCATAGTCGTTTTATACCTTTATACAAACAAACTGTGTGTATAAGAAATTTAGAGAGTACTGGCAGGTGTAAGTCGAAAAAAACCAAAAGAAACAGCGTTCACTGCATTTTGTCGTCGGGTTCCTCCAATTTTCAATCAACACATCTCCAAAACACTTACACCTCGACTTTCTATATCTCTCTCTGTTTCTGTACAGAAATCAAGCCAAACCGAGCTTATCTTCTATTAAATATGTGTGAATCGAGTGATACCGTCACTCTTACTCGCATATTTTCTCTGTGTGTTCCCATTCTATACCGTACGCGTGATCCGTATTTCGAAAATTGATAAAATATAGCAACTTCTCCGCGTTTTCCCCCGCTGAATAATGAGATTTATCTTTTGAGCACACACTGAAAAATCCAAAAGGGAAATCCAATCCGAGCAAGATAGAACGAGTGAAAAGTAGTGCGCGCGCGCATACTAATGATATATTCCACGCGCAGCAGCAGCAACAGGAACAGCATTGTTACATCAGGCGTAGAGTGTCAGTATGCTCGATCGGTGTATGCAATAAACGCAAGTGCCGTTTTTCAATTTTTCCTATATGTTTCTGTTGCCGTTAGATTTTTGTCAGTGTCGTGTTCAATATTATTGCTTTCTTTTTTCATCTCATCATCTATTTTAATACGAAATTCATAAGCTTGCCTGAGAGTGCGCGATGAACGAAAAAAGCATCGCCCGACTAGTATAACGGCATTGCTAAAGTCGTAATGAAGTATTTCATCTCTGAATATTCTACATATAGGTTTTTTTTGCCTTAGTTTCTTCTGGTGGTGCCGTTGCCGCTGCTGCTGCTCTCCGCCTGTCGACTACGTACTTTGCCGTGTGATGTTGTGCAATTTTTGTGCCAATTATCTTTTTCTTTCGCACACCGTTTACCATTTGTCGACGACGATATGTGCGCGTGTGTTTGTGATGTGTGAATATTTTTTAATGGCACATTTATATTTTGATGTTTTCGGAAATTCTTGCCGTTTTTTCTTTTCATTTGTTATTCTTTTTCGCTTTGCTCTATCGAATTGTCGGCGGCTTGTATGTTGATTTGTGTGGAGAAAAAAAAAACCACAGAGTGGAAATTTGTGAAATACAAGCCAGCTACGAAAAACCTGAGCCAATGCCAAAATCAATCAGTTTAACGCCCCTTTTTTATAGTGCCCCTCTCACTAAAACGATGATCACTTACGATTCAAAAATTAAAGATTAATGTATTGTCGTCAACATCAAACAAATGAACAAATAAAAAACAAAGACATTTCATATGTGACCAATTTCAATGTGTACTTTCTCCTTTGCTCGAGCCGTTTGCTGTATGATCAATCCGGTGGTCGAGTGATTATTTATAGGGTAAATGCAATCTGTTTTAATGCTTTCTCGAATATGCATATATGCGTATGAGTGTGCAAGTGTAGTTCCACTATGAGCTTTGGCTATATAATAAAAGGAGCCGTAATTTTCTAATTGATCATCATCAATTTTATACAGAGACGAATGCACTCTGTATTCATGAAATTTTCAACATTGCAGCATTATCACTACTGAAAAATCGCATAAATTATATGTGAACCGTTTTGAAAACTATTTCCAAAAGTGGAAATTGAATATGTTTATGGAAAAGGGGAAACATTATTGCTGTGATGACGGTAGTAGTTTAATTGATTCGCATTTGCGTGTTATCATTCCAAAGTGCCTTATAATGCGTATAAAGCGTTCAAGTCCCACTTTTGCAAACAGTTCGCTAAAGTCGGCCTTTCATTCTAGACATTTCATTTATTTATTTGTTTTACAGTTGCATGGGAATAAGTTTGCCGAAGAGGTACTGATTCTGGATTCATTCATCACTTAGCCTCAATAGATATGAAAGATAATCGGCGGCTGAACAGGTCATCGAACACATGTAAGCAAGCAAGCAGAAGTATTGGCATGCATTTGTGCTCCTAGCAAACAAGCATGCAAGCAAGCCTACCTCCCAAAGTCCATTTTATTATTTTATTGTTATTATTATTCGCATTGTTATTGCTATTATTGTTGCTTCTTCTAATGTTCTTCATTGTTTCGTTGTGTTTGATAATGTGCCGTGTATCGTGTCTATCGTTCGCTCCTTTTTACTCGCAGCCTGCACATACAATATACGGCAAAATAAAACAAATCTTTGGTGTTCATATCGCACGTTGTGTGTTCATTCTGTTGGCGCTTTTCACACTCGAAATTCGGGCGAGGAGAGAGCACAACTAAAGTGTTTGTTGCTTGATTGGCGTGCGCGTGATCGTTTTCGGTGAACACGATGAAAGAGAGCGAGAAAGAATGAGAGAAAAAAGTGCACAAAATTATTGATTAGACGTGTGTGTTTCCATGTGATTCCGCGTGAAGAGTAAGTGTGTGTGTGTGTGTGTATTTTGTATCGTTTTTTCCAAGCTAACAATGAAAATCCGGAATTTTTATTGAGTACAACAAAAAATGCTCGGCATTTTTGAGTGCGCGCGCGCGTCAAAGAACATCATCTCTCCATTACACATACGCTTGGTTAAGCAGAACAACACGGGCGCTTGATTCCGATAGCGCCGTCGGTTTTTCTTTTATTTTCATCTGCCTCCATCCGTGGTCGGTTCATTCGTGTGTGCGCGCGCTTGTGCTCGTGATCTCTATGGCTGCTCACTTCTCCTTTTGCCTACTCCTTTCTTTTTGCTTCCGTTTCGTTTCAATTATCGTCGTCTTTGTCGTTTTTTGAAGTGTGTACAACAAAATAAAATCACAAATAAGATAGAGAGAATTCGCGCGCGGTTCGCTATCCTTTTCGAATGGGAATTTTTCGTTTTCGTTTCGAGAGTGATTCGTTTTACTGTGCGTTTCGTTTGACCGTTCCAAGTCCGTGAATCGCAGAGCAGCTTTGTTGTTTTCGGTTGTTTTCTGCGGTGGTTCCCAAAATTTCGTTACTTTTGTGTGCATTGTAATTTCTACCGTTAAATCGGCACGAATCTATTGTTGTTTTGTTCTCTGTCGTGTTTCGCGGGATTTTAATTTTAGAGCATAATTATTTTTAGACGCTGAAAAATTAAATTAACAAAAACGAAAAAACGGCTAAAATACTGTAGTAGGCCGAAGGCAGAACATTTATAAATATAACATATATACACACATACACACCTATATATACCATACATCGCATCGTATGGCTGTCTACAGTCCAACGACAACGACAAAATAACAAACGGACGAAATTATGTAATTGAGTTAAATTAAAATTTAATTGAAACGAAAAATTAAGTGCTTATGAACAACTTGTTTTTCCTTTGATCGAACTGACATGCAAACACATATTGATAGCAGCAGAGAGTGGCATCGTTGCTGATGATGCCCCGTGTGTGTGCCACAATTCAATTCGTTCTGTTCGATGTGCGCCGTTTTTTATTGCTTTCCTTTTTGATCGAATGCCATCGCTGTGAGAAAAGCAACGAAAGATGGAAAGAATGAATGAAAGAAAGAGAGATCGGAGAGCGTTATTTGATGCCGTTACTGCTGCTGCTGCTGCTGCTGCCGCCGCTGTCGTAGTTGCCGCTGCCGCTGTTGCCGATGTGAAATCAACAAAACAAATGTAGACTATTTATCGCGGACCGACGAGATATTGGGATAATGTGTAGAATTTGTATACGGAACGTTTCTCGACGATCTCCGCGAGAATATATCGGTTGTAACAAAAAAAAAATCGCTGAATAGACTATTTTACTGTAGTATGTGTTGATTGGAAGAGGCACAGGTTAGCTCTCCCGCATTCAGGTGTCTAGGAACCGTTGAAACGCTTTAATGTGCCCAATTTCGCACAACGAAATGGTGGTGGTACGTGCTCAATTTATATACGACGCATTGTTTTGATAATTAATAAGAAGAAAAATGACGTGCGCGATCAAATAAAGAGAAAAAAAGTTCCGTTCACATTTTTAAACTAAAACATTCTTAGTCTCGAAAACGGAGCTATGAGAGATCAATTGGAAGTGAAAATATGTGCGATCATTGATGGATTCTATTACACATTGCGAAAAAAAAATTCTATTTTGTTTTTGCATTAAATATGATCAAACGATCAAAGGGTGGATAAGTGCATCAAAGTGATCGAAAACGAAAATGGGTTTAGTGAATGATCGCAATTTTCCGACGAAGGGTTTTTGTTTGAAACGCTGATGGTTCAATCTTTAAATATAAACTACGGTGACTACTCCTTCAATTCATGTAGGAATTTTGAAGCAAATATAGCATCATTCGAATTCCAACGAAATTTCTGTGTAATAAAGTCGAAATAAATAAATGTCACGTCGATTGTGGTGTGCAACTAATATGTGAGCGGCAATTGGCTTTTCAAGTTAAAGCGAAGCATATCGAAAAATCGACCATAGAAAAAAAGTCAAAAAGAGAAAGGAAACACAACACAAAATCGAAACCGCCCAAAACAAATGTAATATTTATTTTTATAATATTCGATCTAGATTTGTACGGTGTGTGCGTGCGAAAAGAAAAAAAAAATTGAGCCAACGAGAGTGGAGAGCGTTTTCGCGTTCGAACATCACATCATCATCATCAGCATAAAGGAATCTCCTACTTCTGAATAAATGTATTTAACCGATATATTACACACGGTTGATCGATCTGTATTGCTAGGTGGGTAAGTTGGAGCGACACCGTTTCAAGAATGAAAAAAAACAAATCAGTGCCAGTTTCGAAATTTTGCCAACATTTTGAGATTTTTTTCTCTTAATATCGTGAATTTTGAGAATTTAAAAGAGAAAGGAACACCAAAAAAGTGATTGAGTGATTAGTGAGAAAAAGCACATCAAATTTAAGCACATAACCGAACGTAATATTTATATTTACGATTCAGTTATTTATTTTCTTGACGCATACACTCACTCACTTACTCACTCAGTCACTTACTCTCCGATTTGTTAATCCAAATAACAATTTCGAAATGGCGCTACTATTTGAGACAGATTTTGCATTGATTTCAACACAACCAGTATGGTCGATCGAAAAGAAACACATTTCAACCGAAAGAAAGAAAAAGAATAAGATAAATCCAAAAATAAGGAAGAAATTAAAATGTGTGCTTTTGAACATTAACTCGGTGTTCCCGGATCCTCACTCTCACTCTCACTCTCACTCTCCCTCTCTATCTGTATCTATCTCGGTGTCGCGTATGCACGCACATAATAATAATAGCAGCGCGCGTTCTTAGAATATGACATTGGACGAAGCGTGTTTTTTTCTATTTTCTAGGTTGATATTATCGTCATAGGTAAAATGAAGCAACCGCACAGATAGAACGAACAACAGTAATCAATGAAAATAGAAAATGAGAAAGACAAAAAAAAGAAAAATAAATAGTAGACAAACCAAACCAATAAACATTTGACCAATTTGAAAATGTTGAAAACCACTTGTCGTACTTTGCTTCGCCCAAGTATTTGATTAAGTGCGTTTTTTCTTCATCGGAGTGAGTCTCTCCCTCTCTCACCCTCTCTCTCTCTCTCTCTCTCTCTCTCTCTCTCTCTCTCTTCCGAAATCAGAATGAATGTTATGAATGACGAAAGTGTCAATCTAAAAATAAAAAAAACGATGTTTCTTTTGTGCTTTTTGAAACACAAAAAATTATACGATATAATACATAAAGAAAGTGTTCAAAGTAAGAAAAAAATACGTAAACATTGCGATCAAATTGCAATGATGTCTCTACTTTGAGCCAAATTTTCGTTTATTTACGCTGCATTTTTATCCGTGCGTGTCATATCAAGTGGGAGTTTCGGAAGTTCAAACTGAATTTCAATAAGAAACATTTAAAAAAAAAACAACCATTTTTGTTTTGCATTGAAAAATGTCTCCAAATCGTTTTATTCACTAATCGCGTCAAATTTTTGAAAGAAAAATTAATGTTCGTTCCATTTTCCAAATACATCATTCAAATGACTCTAATTTCAATTTCATTAGATTGTATATACAAACTTAAACAAGACGACCTTCTCCTTTGGACAAACCGAGCAAACATTTTTCCTGAACTATAGACTAAGGCCATCTCACATCATTATAATCCAAAAAAAAAAAACCAGCAAAACAATCAACATATACCACACACACATAATTTACCTGAATATATTGAGCGAACCAAACCAAACCAAAATCAAATCAAACAATCACTAAAAGTTTCGAATGAAATAAATTCCAAAATAAACAAACAAATCAAAAACCCATGACATCAAAGTGTTTCCCTGTGAGGTGAATTGGAAGAGCACGTAATAAAACCGTAACACACATACACACACACAATGGCAGACAAAAAATCCTATCGAACCATTCAATTTAAAAAACGAACTAAACGACAACAATTGATCACACCCGCAGCCTCACTGCAATCGCTATTCTCCGGTTCGAATGCGTCAATAAATGCTACTACTGCTACTGGTGTTACGGATAGCTCTGCTGCAGCAGCAGCAACATCATCAACGACAGCCAACGACGCCACCACTTCCAATCAAGGCTTCATTTCAATTTCCGGCTCCAATTGGAATCGATTGTCCAAAAAGAACAAAATTGGCAAGAAAATCGATAAGGATAAACCACCACGCGAACGATGGCTACTGACGCGCAAAACATGGAAGTACATGGCCGATGCGGGACGTAAATTGATTCCAGATTACATAAAAGGAAACTCTAGTGATCCGCGAGATTTGAAGCAGATTGAGGAATATTTTCAACATGTGTGCAACAATGAACCGAAATTTTTGCCAATATTTCGACGAAAGCAATCCTTTCCCGGTGCATTGGGCGTCACACCATTCCGGCGAAGTGGAAAACTGCGACACACACACAAATGGTTTGGCCGGAGTACGAATCATTTGGCACCAATTTCCGACAATAAATCAAGTGGTTCGTCAAATATATCGTCACCACCGACGAAATTCAATTCGGCCGATGAGTCGGAAGATGAAGGTCTTTCAGCGAATGACAGCCAACGAATGTTTTTGATCATTGAAATGCTTGAAAAATATCTGAAGCTTTCGAGTGATGCTGAACCATTGATCGAAGCAGCAGCCGAAGCCGGTGGTGGTAGTGGTAGTGCAAATTTACCAAAAGAGAATAGCTCATCGCCAAATGAGCTAAATGAATACGATTCGAGTGCTTTTAATTCGCCGGACAATTTATCGCCGCCACCTCACGGCGTCAATACGGGTCAATCAATTGATGCCGAATATCAAAAGTCAGTCGACGGAAAAAAATATTCGTTCGGCTGGAACGAGAGAAATTCATCAAAATCATCGCATCAAACGCCATTTGTTTGCTCTGAATCCTCATCGTATCCTTCATCACAACAGAATCGCCGGCCTGTAGGCGGCCAACACACATCATTGTTGTTGGAAAATTTACGAAATTATAGCCGATCGACGCGGAGCTCGTTATTGAGCACAATGAATTTCACTCCAGCTGTGCTGGACGATAAACAACTGCTGCGGCGCATACGTGATGAATTAAAGCAACAACAATTGGATATTATATTGAAACGGCATAGTCGACGACCGATGGCATCAGGTCCGGATTCGGTTCCGCTGCGGTTGTCAACATCACTTTTCACATTGCCAACGCTAAAATCCGTTCCACCGCGAACTAGTTCTGATCACAAGGATGGCATCACCGGTATTCCATCGGCCCTGGATGAATTTAACGATGCTGATACGGCCAATACATGTTCACGTGTTCCATTGATATCAATCAAATATGCATCGCAGGACAAACCGTTACATTCGGCCACCGAACAAACGCAAACCGATCCAATTCCAGTGAACAATATTTATCAGCAATATCATGAGTTTTTGAAGCGACAGGAAAAGGAGCGTGTAGAACGAGAGCAAATGACACAAAAGCAAAATCTTCTTAGCAAATCGATGAGTACCGGATGCAAATCTGGTCTCGGTGATTTAAATACGAAACATTCCAAACGCAAAAGCAGTATTGATAATGAGGATGTGTCACAATCGGTGAGCGATACAATCAAACGTTATTTGCGAATGGCACGAAAAAAACCAGCCAACGATCAAAATGCAAATCAATTTAAGCGCATCAATTACGATACAAATTTGCGAAATATCACATCGAAAGCGGAAATTCCCCGGCCCGATGATCTCGACGTTGGCAACACCAAACACACGCAAACCAATGACAATTGGATCGAAATCGTTATCCAAGAGATCAAAGCACACATGTCAGCTGACGAATATAAACAATTACCGTTGAGTGATTGTCCAGAGGACTACCAGCAAAGCACGTTAACCGATCATCGAAAGCCAACATCCTCATCAATGCCAACCTCACCGACCGGATTCTTCCACACAAGTACGCACTTCCAAAATTCCTTTTTTTCATTCACTCACTCTCAAAACTTTGCACTTGTCGAATTATGTTCATAGTTCCGTTTTCATTTTGTTTATATTTTTTCTGTTTCGTTCCCCCGCCCTCCCGTTCGGTCGGGTTGGGTTTTTCTTTGAGCATTGAACAAAAAGAAAAACATAAACATTTCAATTAAGTCTTGAATCAAACGATGAAAAACAGGTGTAGACGCGATTACAAACTCATTTCGTGTTGTGCGTGGTGAACGCTTCTGCTTGCATTTCTTTTCATGCGGTTTTGTGAATTGCGAATATAAAAATAAGCTTATTTGTCATCATTCTAATCACATTGCATGTAAAATTCATTTAAGAAATATGTCCTTGCTGTTTTGCCCGGCTTTTAATTTCTTGTGAAGAGTTTGCCATTTGTCATTCAACACCTCGTACAATGCTTACGCATGTGTGTAAAATTGTCAACTCATTCGTTGTGTATTTGTCTTCCATTTTCACTATTATGAATCATACAAACACACCGTGTGACATCGGCGACGGTGAAATTTTCTTTTGAATCAAACATACGAAAGCGATAAATTGTTGAGTCACATCATGACGTAGCCAAGGCACAAGGAATCATTCTACGTCATTGACCATTTTTTTCTGCTCATTTATTTGTCCGTCCGTTCATCATCACCAAGAGAGCCTGAAAACTATAATCTCTTTTAATTTCAATGACCAACATGATTCGCCTCGTAAATTCGACTGCCAGATTTGTTAGAGGCTTTAACCAAATAAAAAAAATGTTTTAAATCACACACAAACACACACACACACACACATATACTGGCCGAATCCCGAGTTTTGATCAACAGTCAAATATACGATGTATGTTGAGTATTCCGTTTATTTTGATTTTGCAAATTTTATTACCAACATTAAAATGGGAACATCATTTTAAGCACGTTTTTAGTAATCATTCAATTGCATTAAAAAATATTTGATCGCTTAAATGAACTAACTGATCGGCTCGATAATTTTCGAGTTATAATTAGGTGTTCGGACTTGGAAGATGAATTAACTGTCGCTGTTGGCATTGCAGTTACTTTCATAGTTTCGAAATGTTTATTTCAACAGAACGATTTTGTTTATCGGTGGTTTTTTTCTCGTTGCAAACATTGATTCGTTTTGAGAAGGATCTCTTTTGCTCTCACTCTTGCTAGCTCAATCCTAATGATTACGTATCTTACGCGAAGAAGTTGTGTCCATTTGGACGTGTGTGTTTTTTTATTTCTATTGAGTGAGAATTGTATGATATTCTGACTCTTTTTTTTCGTGTGTATGCGTTTCGTTCGCTGGTTTCGCCGCTTTCTATATCTGCATCGTGTACGATAATCGTATGAAAAAGCTGAAAGGATAGCAGATTTCTTCATTTTCACATTTTCTTGAACTTTTCCCATTTCATTTGATTATTCCTCTTCGGGTTATTCGAACTGTTCTCATTCGGAAGTTTTGTTGATGCATACACGTACACAAAACTAATCCACGAATCCACAAACGAAAGAGAGAGAAAGAGAGAGAAAGAGAGAGAGAGAGATAGAGAGAGCGAATGAAAGAGGAAAAGTGTGAAAAGTGAACAGTCGCGCTCACATCGACCTATGTATATACGTATATAATAGTATGTATATATATAAACATAATATGAGAGTCGTTGTGTTTATGTGGGCAAGAGAAAAGTCCTAACAACACTTTAATATTATATTTATTAATAGCAACTGATGTGAAAAAGCTAAAAATATGATACATGGCCACATATTTTTATAGGAGCCGTTTGATACACACGCTCTCTTTCTCGCTCCGTTTGTGTCGCACAGTTTCTATTCACTCCCTCTCTCTCTCTCTCTCTCTCTTTCTCTTTCTCAATCGCCAGGAGATCTAGCCCAATCGCATTATATGTCCGTATCACGTACGATCGCACATCTAGTGTGCGCATTTGTGTATGTGGTGTCGATCGAAGTATAAGTTTAGCTTTTCTCTTCACTCATTTCGATCGTACGCTCTTGTTGTCTTTTCGCATAGAAAAAATGTTCGTCTATGTGTGATTTTATTTGCGCTCGAATATAGCGCATTGTAGTACTAAACCATACTCAGTACCGATGATTACACGATATCTATATACAATACCGTTCGTTCTTCCATTTAGTTTAAAATTTCTTTTTTTGTCCATTTCGTGATCGATACCATATAGATTCTTTATTTTTTTCTTCTTTTGTTCAAATGTAGCTGCTATTGTTGTTGTTGTTGTTGTTGTCATCGTCGTCGTCACTGATCAATGAAATTTTTCAGTTTTTCCGTTCCGTTTTTGCGTTCGGATTAAGAGAAAAAATATATTGTGATATAGAAAGTGTTGCGACATTTTTTCCCGTTTATTTCGTTTGGATTTTTTTATTGGTGATCGCGGTGTTTCGAATGACTGTGCGCGTTCGTTTGATTTGTAAAATCTCACCTAATCAGACAAAAAAAAAACTTGATTTTGTTTTTTGTCGACCGTGTATCATTCATTGAAATCATTTGCAGGTACAAATCATCCATATATTTATATATATTGTGTGTTATTAACCGCATTTTAACGCTTCTTCCGTGCGCGCTTATCAACTATCGTTTTATTTTATTTTTTATTCTCGTTCAGTAAAAATTTACTCTAAACCCTCACGTTGACAGTTTTTTTTTTTCATAGTGAACGTTTTTTTCCACTTTCGATTGTTTTCTGGTGTCGAGTGTTAATCACTTTCCCGAATCCTAGACTCTGTGCATAGTATCATTCATTCAGTAGCGCTTTCATTGAAAAATTCTTAGTCACATTGAAGATTTGATACACGAAACAACACGCACGCACATTGTAAATATGCAAATTGTATCGCAAACATTTGTCATCAATGTAAATATATATTTTCCATTTTCATATGGAGCTTTAAATTGCGCGCTTTCATATCGATATTTAGGAAAAAAAATTATTCTCTGTGTGTGAAAAAATCAAATGATTTATTTCGATCATTGCAAATTTCAAAATGTTCGCCATTTCCGTTCCGATAAAAAAAATTTAGCAGGTAGCTGGACCAAAGACTCTCTTTTCGGTCACAAAAAGGAAGACCCAAGCATATTAAATATGCAGAAATCCAAATCGTCAACCAATGTTGGACAGGTATTTTCCAAGAAAATCTGGAAATCACGATCGAAAAGCCAAACACGACCAGATTCACCAGCACAGCCGCATTGGACGCCACAAGTAAATAATACTATTGTTTATTTATAAAAATCCGTTGAAGGTTTCAATTCATTCAAAAGACCAAAAAAATACACAATGTTTCAAACTCATTCTAGTTCATCTTGAGCCATAAGATTAAATTCATCTTCTTTTTTTTCGCTTCGATTCAACAGGGAAATTGCATTTGGAAATCTTCAACTGGCAAATATTTACACTTGAAAAAGACTCATTTGCACGAACTAAGCGATGTCGAGCGGAAAAGTTTACAGCGCATTGCATTGGATCGAATAAATCAATTGAATATTGGTGTGCCGGTTAAATTGCCATCAGGTAATATTAGAAACTGTTTATTTGCCACGTATTTTACGAGCATTTTACGTGATTGTTCTTTGTTTACTTCTCTTTCGTTCATATTTCAAAATATGTGTGTGATTGCGCGTTTTTTCCCCCTCAAATTTCACACAACAGAAACAGCGACGACAGACGGTTTACAGCAAAAAAGTCAGAAGCGTCGAGCGCCACTTCTACTAAAGCGAAAGGCTTTGACCACAAGCTTTTTCGATTCGAGTAAAATCAAAAGTGATGGCCGTAAAGGAAGTACAAACAATGCAACTGGTGGTTTGATATTTGGTCAACCGCTGGAAAAGTGCTTGAGCAATGACAATGCGTTTGGGGCGTCGAGTAAACAGAAAGGTAGCGATGATAGTGGCGGGGGACATAAACTAAGCCGAAAATCACGCTGTTCCATCACATCATTAGACGCACAGCTACCGGGTAGTGCAATATCCAGTGATGGAAACTATGTATGTGTTCAGAAGGAATTGAAGGAAAATTTATTGAAAATTGAACATGTATCATGTATTTCCACTATATCTCATTAACAGAGCGGATCCTGTGACAGTTTGTTCTCGAAACACGATACACGTTTCACGGCTTCGAACAGTGGTGATAGTTTAAGTGATGCCGGTGGCTTTGGAAATAGCCTGGAAGATGATGATGCCAGTTCAAAATTTTCAAATGGAAGCGTACGACAAACACAACCGCAAGTTCCACCATTAATTATAGCTTGTATCGATCACCTCACAAATTATGGTCTGCATGTTGTTGGCATATTTCGAGTGAGCACATCAAAGCGACGAATAAGAGAGGTATAACAATCGACTAAGCATTATTTATTATATTCAATTGCGTTTCTACATTTCATAATTCATTTTCGTACAAATATGATAGTTACGCGAAGAACTTGACTGTGGTTCATTGAAAACATTCGATTCAGAGACGAGTCCACATGATGTGGCTTCATTGCTGAAAGAATATTTAAGAGATCTACCCGAACCATTACTCTGTCGATCACTTTATCAAGGTTTTCTATCCACACAAAGTAAGCATTGAATTTAGTTGAAGATCGATTGGCAAAATGTAAGAAAAAAAAAACTAATGAAATGGTCTTTATTTCGCAGAAATTCGAAATCGTCGCCTGCAGTTAGAAGCTCTTTCACATTTAATACAATTATTACCAATAGCTCATCGTGATACTTTGTATGTGTTGTTAAAATTTCTAGCGCTAGTCGCCCGCTGTTCGGACGATGTCATGAATTTGGCAACAAATACATGCATATCAGTAGGAAATAAAATGGACAGTACGAATTTGGCAACAGTCATTGCACCAAACATATTGCATTCAAACACCGATGCAAATAGTGCGGTCGCAACGGATGAACAGGCCGAAGAGCGTCTTGATGTGATTAATGTTGTGCGAACGATGATCGATCATTACGAAGAGCTGTTTACCGTGCCACCAGATGTGATGGACGACGTATATACCGTTATGATGGACTCACACCCTGAACAATTGGACTATATATTCGATCGAAAGGATAGCTATGAGGCGAACAACAGTCGAAAAGAGTGAGTGTGCTTCCGTTGTGTGTGCGAATGAGATCTGGTGCCGTTGGAGAGTTCGATCAAAATTTGATTTTAACAATTTAAACATGCTGTGCAATTGCAGTGAATCCACGTCTAGCCCGAAGAAATCGCCTGGTCCACAAGTGCATGCGCATTTCTTTCCACAACACAGTCAAGAACGATTCGATCCAAGTGAGGATACATCATCGCCCAGCGCGACGGCACACACCGAGGAAAGTGATCAACCGCGACGGATGTATGTTCGCGAACAATTTACACATGAGAATACCAGCACCGTGCGGGGAAATGTAGCCGAACCAAGTGATAGCATCATTAGGCGGTAAGTAGAACGAATTGGAATGGCTATTCCTTCTGTAGACTAAACAAAACGGGTTTTGAAGTAAATTGTTTCAATGTGTATCATACACAAAATTAAAAATTTCTGAAAAATTACTTTTGTTGCAGACGAGAGCGGAGCTCCCGAACGAAAAGTCTGATTCCGGACCAGGAAAGTGTATTTTCGCGACGAAGACGACGCGTGCCGAGCTCATCGTCAAACACATCGTCGCCGTTAACCGATGATGCCATTCGATATAATTTGAATATATCACCACCGACGACGCCGACTAGCAAATCCAATTCAAATGAAGTATTATTAGCCACGTTGAAACTGCCTGTTCAAATGGTCCACACGCAATCGGCGATTCATGCAGATGTCGTATCGACTGACGCTCCATTGAGTCTCAACTCCGATTTATCGGATATTCCGTACATCGAAGACGCCGAAACAAATAACGGCTATCGAAGCACAACGAATGTTACACCGCAGCCATCACCAACAAAAATCACTTCCACAACCACAACACTTGGATCGATTACGAAAAAGAGTGGATTCCCGTTAACTAAGCTGAAATCACAGTTCAAACCCGCACAGCTCACGCTGACCACCGTTCCAATTGATCAGGGAACAAAAGATGTCGATAAGGGAAACAGTGTTTTGGGTTCGGGGAAACAATCCGGAATCAATTCAGTTGAACCCAGCCCACATAATGTTCCGGTGATGACAGGTATGCGATTGCATTCACTCTATTCATATGAAAAGAAACTAAAATGTTGAACTCTTCAATTTCAATAACATATAAAACCAATACCAAGAATAATCGCTTGTCGGGAATTTTGTTTATAGCAATTACAAACATTGGCGGCGATATGATGCGATCAAAAACAGCTGAATTTGAACGAATGATGAGTAATCAGCAACAACAGCAGAATAAATCAATCTTAAAAAGTCGTTCACAAACAATGCAGTCACACGGTAGTTCTGGCGCACGTAGTAGCACAGAATCAAAAAATACGTCGCTAAAAACGTCTGATTCATCATCGAATGTACGCAATGGGCCAATTTATAAGCGACGCGACGTTATCTCAAGTGCTTTGAATTTGAAAAAGTAACCACCACAGCAACAACAATGTACTCAATATGACGTCATGAATAACATACAGCATACAAACACACGGAGTCACATCAGAATAGAACAGCAGCCACAACAACAAACATTCACAAACCCGAAGTGGAAAAAAAACTATTTTCGAAATTAAATCAAACCGCACCTCCTTTTCGTCTAGGTTTAGATAGTTATATTATGAAATTTCTTTTTTTTTTCAATGATATTTATTGTTGCGAAATTGAAGTGAAACAGAAAAAAAAACGTTGTTATCTTGAGAGTGTGTCTCGCTCACCCAATTTTTTTCTCTCTTTTTTCATTATCTCTATCACTCTCTCGCTGTATCTTCATACCTATAGTTAGTTATCTTCAGAGCATTCAATCCGCTGGCTATGTAGCGCTGCCGTTGAACAGCTGCTGTCAACAGCGGCTGTTGATTACGTACTTGTGCATGCGACACACTGTAAGTGCCACGCCAACCAATACATGCAGACGGAGCTATGTGTGTACTACGTTCGTGCATGTTCATGCCTGTTAGAGAGGGTGCGCGGGGCCCACAGTGTTTCGCATGCACAAGAACGTAACCAACAGCCGCCGTTGACAGCAGCTGTTCAAAAGCAGCACTACATAGCCAGCAGTTTCAATGCTCTGGTTATTTTCAAATTCGAAATGGCGAATGCACTTTCACATTGTTGGCATTGGTCGAGTCTAGTAAAAGATGAATTAAAATGTACGCTGCAATTTTTTCTATCTATATCTCTCTGTTTTTCCCCACTTTATCTATTTCTATCAATCTTTTTTTTTTACTTGACGAACACACACACAAAAAAAATGTTACTTTTTATGACGAAGAATCAAAGTTATTTATAGTCTAATTTATACATTTTTATTTGATTAGGTTGATCAAAGGTTTTATGTTTATATTTCTGAAAAAAAAAAATCGAATTATCGCCAAATATTTCCGATGTAAATAAAATATTCTTTCTTCTTTTATTTTTTCTTGTAAGTTGTAATAATCAATGGGATTTTATATGTATCGGAAATTTTAACACTAAAATTATAAGCAAAAGATCTATTTTTAATTTTTTGATTCGCAATTCAAACAAGCTGTGTAAATAAAATGTTTATTATGGAACAAAAAATGTAATAATGTCAAAAAAAAATAAAAAAAAAATAAATAAATTATCGTTATGAACAAAATGTCAATATTTTAATAAACCAATAAATCTTCGGTATTACTTGTTATCAGTTTGGTCTTTAGTTGATCTTGTTTGTTGTTGTTGTTGTTGTTGTTATTGGTTTCTTTTCTTTGTGATGTGTTTTAAGCGTTTCTAAAGAGATTCTACGATAAGCCATTACATTGATAGAGTTAGCGGATATGGGGCTAAAGAATATATTTTGATTCAACGAATATATTTATTCTAGAGTAACAAACCGAATTAATTTTCAATTTTATCGAAAAAACAAAAATGATATGCAAACCAAGTCGACTTAATTCAAATGAAATTGAAAGAAAAATTCTTTGCTTAACGTTTTGCTTTATTCAATTTGGGCAAAAAAATTGTAACATAAAAAAGGAGAAAAAACGAATAATAATGTTTGAAGCCATCAGTTTAACATTCAGTTCTACGGAACAGTATTTGAAGCCATGAAACTATTGATATGGCCGAGATACACAAGCATTTCCCAATTTCAATGAGCATGCATTTTTGATTTTGTTTCCAATTTCAGGCACAAACTATTTGGGCTCTGCAGATTCACTTATTACCAGTGCATTTTGCGGACGGGCTGATTGATCGTAATTGTGAATGCCTGAAAAATAAAGTAGAACATTTCAGCAATTAGTAAAAAAAATGAAGAAAAAACAACAATAATCTCACTTGAAATATTGGAAGTGGAATGAAAATTTGTTGGAAACCCTGAGGATAGAATTCAGACAGATAATCGTGTGAACACCGAAGGTATGGTTTCCATAATTTGATACCTTTTAAGTATTACTCTACCTTTTAGTTTATATTCATGCCCCGCAATTTATGCACGATGGCATGCCAAAGAAAAAGGATAATTTCACCCATTCATATTACTCTCGCGCTCTATAGTTTAATAATTTTGAAATCAATTTGGGTTCTTACCTGTGTTGTATCATCTGCGTTGGGGTTGATTTCATGTGAATGAGTCCAGACAACGTCCAGTATCGTACATTAACGAATCATTGTTTTCGGATGATGCGTCAGTCGTGCAGTTTCCCTTTGAACCATCTCAGTTTCCTTCGTTCAACACCTGTAAATACATCGATTTGTTAGTATTCTGGCAATTATTTTGAAACACTTAAAACCAATTATTGATAGTTTTTTATTCGTTTTGTTGGAAACCCTGAGGATAGAATTCAGACAGAAAATCGTGTGAACACCGAAGGTATGGTTTCCATAATTCGATACCTTAAGGAGATTACTATACCTTTCGTAAAAAATCATTCATGTATCGTAATTTATGGGCGATAACATGCCAAAGTGAAAGGATGCAAATATAGAATGTGTTTTAGAAACACCTTGATCTTCTTTATTCAAACAATTCTTAACTTCAAAATTAGCCGAAAAGGAAACAAATTATTGGTTGTCAACTCAAGATCTTGAGGAAAAATGTACATGTCGAGTGTATGTGAAATTTTCCTAACAAAAACCGACTATTGAATATATGAATCAAAATCATTTTCAAATGAAAGAACCTCAATGACAAAGAACGATAATCGTTTGGAAAAATGTGTATCAAATTAATTTTGTCATCGATTTTCATCGATTCTTGCCAATTTCTTCAAACAGCCAATACTTTTTACGTTAAAAGTGAAAAATGTACACAGAACGTGGTCTTTGTACAAACTGTGATTCGAGGTTATGTTTTGCCGACGAATTTTTCTTACATTTGCCAAACATATTTCGATTGGTCTACACTGTAGCATCAAAATGTTGCCAGAGAAAATACACTTACTTGTGAATATACGAATTTAACGAGGAGTATCTTCAAGGAAAATGTCCGAATTTAAAATTGGAATGTGAAAATCCAATGAAAATTCCCACGCAAGAAGTCCCATGATGTCGATGCTGCGACGTCGAAATTGAGAAAGAAATAAGAACGAATAAGCAATCGTACAGAACACTGGTGTGTCTCGCACGCGGACAACTGTGTGGCCAAATGTCAAATGCATTGAACGTCTCCAACGAGAGGTATGAGATATGTACTTTAGAAGTACTTGGAATCAACATTAAATCGTTAACAGTAGAACAAATATTTTTTTGCAGTTTCTTTTGGTTACAATGCAAAGCGAATTAACATATTCCATTCGGTCAGAGAAATAAATGGAAATTAAATCAAATGTTTCAACTTAATTTATAAATTAGAAAATGTGATTGAATTTCATTTCTCATCAAATCGAACGATGAATCGTACTTAAAAACTTTTTTTAGAGGTGTCAAGAATTATGTATCACTCATACACATGGGCCAACCGCACACCTTATATGATGACTTTATTTCTGCAGTCGAATTTGCTTTTACTTTTTTCACACTCACATTCATACCGGCGTACTTAAAATTGAAATTTGCTCAAGTGGCACAACATACCGTATCAATTTTACGGTAACAAGAAAGATGACGAAAAATATACATCCACATTTTTCTATAATGATAGTATTAATTTTGTATGCCGATACATTTCAGGCGTATCTGTCGTCATAGAAGATGTTTATTTTTGTTGACATTTGACAATGCAGTAATGTGGAAAATTCACTATTTTTTTCATTCCCTGACCATTTCCGTATATAACCGATTCATTATGGAAAAAATCTCTTTTGGATTCATTGAATTCGACGCATCGAATAAATCAATCTATCAGTGATTGAAATGTCAATGAATCGAATGCCACACCAGTAGACATCTGCTCTCGTTTATGTGCGACTTGAGTATAACTGGTCTGAAACTACTCAGCGATCGGTTGTATTCTTTGCATTCGACACATACGAATATATATATGTGTGTGTGTGTGTGTGTGTTTTGCTCAATCTGGCGGACTTACTGTGTTTGAAGGAATTCCAACAAAAACAACAAATAAAACAGCGTAAGAAAAATAAAACACACATCGTCATACGTTGAGGAGAGCGAATAAAGAAAAGAATACTCAAGAGAAAAAATACCCTTCGGATCTGTGGTGTACGTATCGCTCACGCTATGCGTTCGCTCTTTTTCTGTCTTATTCACACTTACACTATATTCGTCATACAAAACAACGGCAGAACCTAAGTGTAGAACGCATGCGGTGCGCTTCAGTTGTGTGTAGCGATATTGACGCAAGACCGTATGCATTAGTATTGGTGTGAGAAGCGCGAACGTTTAGTGTATCCGCATGCGTTCTACACTTACATTCTGCCGTTGTTTTGTATGACGAATATAGTGTAAGTGTGAATAAGATAGAAAAAGAGCGAACGCATAGGGTGAGCGATACGTATACCGCAAAAATGAAGAGTATTTTTTCTCTTGAGTATCAGCGGCAGCGCGCTACTTCGTCAAGCAAACAAAATCTTGTGATGACTAGTTGTGTTGTGTTGTTAAGACACGAACAGTCGTTTCTGTGACGAATGCGTGCGCTTCTTGGCTACGGACTCCTTTCACACGCATCTCTTATTATTTTTCATCGTTGTTTTATATTTTTTTGTGGTATTACTTTACACAATTTTTCTTTTTCAAATTCCTTTCCTAATTACTGTGTGTTGTACTAAGAATCGATAATTTTGCTAAATTTGATCGCCTGAGATATGAGTAAATTTTTGATAAAATCCTCTAAAAATCGTGGAATAAATTCAAATTTGTGACATTCAAGTGTGGAAGGTAGAAAGTTAGGACAGGAAAAATTAACGTTGAATAACAGACGTTCTACTCTAAAAGAATGAAGAATCAAGATGAATTGAAACGCGATTCGGTGAATAAATTCGATGCAATTTAAACGCGATTTACTGAAATAAAGCAAATTTTAATCAGCAGCGAGAAAGAGAGAGATCAGAGGAAAAACACGAATTACCTACGAACGAGCTACAGTGTGTGTACACACGGCAGAAATAACTAAAGAAAACAATCTAAATAACGAGTTGAGAGCGAGAGAGCGACGAAGATGAGAGAATAGATGAGAAATTAATAAACAGGGGAATCGATAAATCTGCGGCGTTCGTAGAGAATGAATGCAAATTTTTCTTGTTATCGAAAGTTTCGTTTTATTCATTTACCATTTTATTTTGTCATTTGGTGCATTTTTGCCTCTGCTGCCGCCGCCATCCGCAACAAAACATACGACATTTGAGTTATTTAGAGAAGAAGTTTTGCTGCGATTCCCTCTCTCACATCCGTGTGTATTTTGCTTAATTGTGCAGTTTTTTTTTTGTTCTCTTGCATTTTCCTCTCTTTCATCGTATGATCGTGTCTTCGCACGGCGTAGCGAATGAATCAGCTCTCTCTTTCAATGTGTGTTGGATTCGACTCAGCGCGTTTATGCTGAATTTTAATTGATCATAATGCGTGTATGAAGTGAACAACAACTTGAATTCCCTTTTGGAATTTCCAAAATAAACAAATCTCCATGCGATTATATTACACAATTCACTCGATAGCCGCTGATCCTTCGGCCGTTTGTTCATTCATTTCTTGTTGTTGTCGTTCATATTCATTTCGCTTAAGCAATAGCTAAAAATAGAAATATCAAACGTCAATTTTATTTATGTTACTTTGTTGCTTTCATTTGCTTTTCTCTTTTCTATAGTTGATTTAGACAGAAAAAAAGAGTCATCAATCACTTGTTGTAGCTGTGTATTAGTAGAAAATTTTATGACATCGACTCGCCGGCTTTAAAACATTAAACACGCTAAGCGTTGCATAGAGAACCACAAACATAAATAATTAAAACCAAAAGAGAGAAAGAGTAGAATAAACCATTTAGACAAATCAACCGAATATCTCACCCACACGCAAAAATGCCAGTTTTCCACACAAAAACAATCGAAAGCATTTTGGAACCTGTTGCCTCACAGGTAAGTCACACTCAATTCATCTCGACCTTTTTTTTCTGTTTGTTTCACGTAGTTGTAAAGTGTTTTGTTTCTTCTGCTTGGTTAGTTCATTCATGTGAATGAAATACGAAATGCGTGTACGTTGATCTCATTACAAGTCAAATGTGTGCGGTCAAACGATGATCAATTCGACGATTTAGTCTTTCTTTGATACATTTTTGGTGACCTTTTTGGGTTTTTTCCCCTTCAAACTGGACATCAGCTTTGGATGATTAGAGATACATTTTCCTCAATGTAATAAGAATGAGATTCGTTTCAACTTCACAGTGTGAGATAGAGAGAGAGAGAGAGAGAGAGAGAGAGAGCTTGTTACATTGGTCCGAATCTGAATTGATTTGACTATTTTTAACATTTTCATACATCACGCGCACCGTGTGCACTACCAACAAAGGAAAATGTGGGCACTAATATGGCAAGAACAAATGCGAACATCTATACGCTGCTTTGTGTGAAAATGCTTGACGTCGTGTAATGAATTGACGGTAAAAACACCTAAGATTTTAATGAACGTCTGGTCAAATTCTATGCTATCCTTGAAGAACATCGTTTGTCTTTCATTACGAAAAGACAAAAAAATAACCACACACAAAATGAAGCAGCGTTAACAAACAACAACATTTTACAACACCGCTTAATATCTGTCTCTCGTCTTGAAACTATCTCAACAACTATTTATAAATTACACGGACACTGAAACGGTTGTCGCGAAAATGGCAAAACAGTGTGTTTGTGTATGTATGGCTGAAGTGATTTCCTTGCCGGCACACGGTACAAGCAAATTTTGACGTGTGCTAAGCAACTAACTATCAATGACAAACGCAATGCGCGTCTTCTCATCCAACTCGAGTGATACATTTCAATCATAAATCTTGCAGGGCAAACGCGTGTTCTCTCACTTTCATTTATCGCACCAGATTAAAACAGCAACGAAAGAGTGTGTAAGACCTTCCGTTCAACCAAACACCAATGAACTTTCTATTTTTATCAATACTATACTGCCAATCAATTTTATGTTCTCCTTCAACGTATATATGACAGTATAACCATTGGGTTCGTTTTCTTTTTCACGAGACGCGGTTCAAAAGCATTGATTCACTTCCTCAAAGAGGAAATTCATTATTCATATCGATCAATTGCATTTTTTGTTTTCCTCCGATGAACTTTTTCCGTGCTATTCGGACATTTTGAATTATTTCTTTCCTCGTGCCCCCATTTTTTTTCGTAACCACATACATGCATACGATGAATCATCCGCTGAATTCCGTCTTTTTTTCCTCGTAATTCTCCAGCTTTTTATGATTCATTCCATTACGAGTCGGGCCTCACCCAGAAGCATTGATTAAATTTGTACGATAACCATTTCTTATCAAATATTTACATTTGATTTGGCTACCGTTTTTATATACCACCAAAGCGCGAAAATAAGAAATTTCACTCAAAATTAAATAGACGCTCACGCATAAAATGAAAATAATATTTTTTTTTTTCAAATGGTGATCACCGGCGCCAAAAATATATTTTTTCACAATTTTTATACCAACTCCGAACCTAATAACAAGAAGCTGATTTTGATTGGATGTCCACAAGAAGAGAAAAAAAAAACAAAATCACATCTTCTTTTCGTTAATCAACAAAGACAGCTCAGCACAACCCCAGCAATGATTTCTATTTTCTGTTCGACTTGGGTGTGCGCGCGCGCCTCTGATGAGACGAAAAATTGTCTCATTGTTTTTATTGATTTCAATTAAGCGGCAATGAGTTTGACACTGTTCCAAATGGACTTGAAACAAATACTCTGCGAAACAATCGACTGCTGCTACTACTGCTGCGATTGACTCAGATCCGAATTGCCCATTCGTTTGCCAACATTTTCAAATAAGCATGAAGACCATATCACGTTTATGTGATTTTTTTCCTTCTGTTTTCTGCCAGTATGTGCCAAACATGACTTGTGCTGTCACAACAAATACATATCATGCGAACAATTGAATTGAAAGAAAATACAAAACAAAATCATCGATCGAATTTCAAGTCGTATAAGTTATTGATGGTTGTGTGTAAGACTCTTTGTTTACACTATTATATGTGCTGTATTAAGCACATATTTGTATTACAAGCCGAGATTTATGGTCATGCGACCAATATTGATGAAAACGATACACACTGGCTTGTGATTTATACATCGGCAGTTGTTGACGGTTTTATCAATTACAAAATGTGGCTTCAACAGCAAAATGTTCGCTTGGACGAAATAACGATCAAAGACCGCCGAAATTTATATTTAAAACTATTTCGCAAAATTGAAGGAAAAAAAGAACGAAAGAAGATGAAAAACGATCATTCTAAACTTGACCTATTTAAGTGACGACTGTGACACCCGCTCAAAATCTAAGACTAAATGGTGTATTCGTTAATGAATTAGACGGCGAAAAAATACGATGAAGAGAAGAGAATCGTTTACAAAATCATACATTCAGTTGTGTGTCGTTAAGCTAGTTAATGCCCGTACAATTCAGCGATGACGAGCAAAAATTCCACAACAAATCGAATGGAATAGGGCCTAATGTAAGAATTACGATTTTCGACAATCACGTAGCACATTAGCGCCAAATAATAAGTGTTCGGAGCCATAATTGGAATAAAATTCTCTTCGGTTCTTTTGAAAAAAAAAAGCCCAATAAAAAATTGTCACAACATCGAAAAGTTCTAACCGAAAATACAAGCCACAGGAAGTTTTAGCTGTTAAGAAATAGTGTAATAATTTCAATAAATTTCATGTCTATTGAGCGAATGAACGTGATGGAAAAATGGGAGAAAGAGAGAGAGAGAGAGAGAGAACGAGAGAAATCGCGTAAACATAAGCAAAAAAAAACTTGGGCGTCGGTGTTCATATTCATTTTGGTTACCGATTAAATCTCGAAGAAAAAGAGCAGTAAGCGACTAATAAACATATACAACGCGCCAGCTACAGAACGCTGTCTGTGGGCCATTTGTATTGGTTGTATCGACGATTGAATGAGTCGCCATGTGTAACGGTGATTCGGATCAAACAAATCGTTATTCTTAGGCGATTACTCATTCCGTCCGTCCGTTCGCTTGGTGTATGTGTGTATGTGTATGCGTACGCTTATTTTCTGCTTTGTTGTTCCAACGAAAGCCGTTTTTTTTTTCTTTCTTCACTCATCTCTTGTGAGTGGACTACTATCCTATTGTATGATTCCTCATGTCGTCCTTTTGCGTTCATGTTTTCATGTGGGCTTCTACACACACACACACACACCAAATCTTTCACTTCGAAAACCAATTGTGTAACTCAAAACTTTCGGCAAAAATAATTTCAGAAATAAATTGAAACAGCACGAAAGAAAAAACGCGCCACACACTTTTCATTTCTCCGCGCATAGTTTTTTTCTCTTCTGTGTATTGGGTTTGCGTTGTTGCTCCCGTTTTATTTTTTCAACAACCAAAAAACAGTTTCATTTCGTTAATGAAATCATTTATGATTGCGATATAACACACAAAATAACTTGTTTACATGACCATGAGTTGAAAACAACACCAAGCGCTGTCTCTGTTGAAACAAAACAAAAAATTATGAATAATCAGAAGAAAAAAAATTGAGTGGTTTCCTTATGATTTCAATCTATATAAATTTTGCTCGCGCACACACAATTTATGGGCAATAAAATTTCATTTTATGTCATGTGTCAATCATTTTTTATGCGAAATGTTTACAAGATTTGGACAAAATTGCGGCATATTGATATCAAACACAGCATTAAATGAAATTTAGCCATTTCAATTGAAGGAAACCACATACAACATTAGGAAAATTTGCTTTTGGATCGCAATGCTCTTTTTATTGAATAATCAGTGAACTGTCCCCAAATCAGAGAGCCTAAATTTGAGCGTCATTGCACTTTGTCATACTTTGTCATAGTATATTCCAATTTGTGCATTAGAGAAATGTTTGTTTGGCATCTACTTTGCTCCACACAATTATATAAATAGAAAATATTCTCAAACATCGACGAGCCAAACGTATAATTTCTATCGTTTGGTTTTCTATTATATTCAATCTATTTATTATTCCTATTCCTATTCAGACATTATGAAAAGTACAACCAACTAACAGATGTTTATAATTGAGTTCGTTTTTCTCGCCGTTACCGTGTGTGTTTGCGTGTTTTCTTTCTTTCTTCGGGTGTCGGTTAAATTCTTCGATGCATTTTCTTGAATGGGAATCAAAAATACACCAGCCTCGGAATTCTGTGATGATGACATTTATTTCATTTTTAAAGCAAAACAAACAAAAAAACATGCATTCCACACATAAATCGTTGATTTTCGAGACGATTTTCAGCATCTGAAAGTGAATCAAACTAGAGAAAATGGAAAACAAAAACTATTTGAATGGAGATTTCTAATATTACTAATGAAAATAAATCTATCATCATTCGCATTTGTCTGGAACCGGAAGACGGATGAACAGAGTAATAATACTATGAATAAAATTTAATTATTTGCATGCTGTAGAATTGTGCCCGAAAACACAAAAAGAATGAAAGTGAACACACTGAACAAACAGATAGAGAAAAAAGGGGGACGTCAAAGAAGAAGTGCCAGAGATAGACACAAAAAAAACGGTTGAAATTGAAAATTGCAAGCGAAATTAGTCTTAGCGCATATTCCATAGACAAAGAGAGTGATTCTATACATAGGCTAAAATGCATTTGCTTTTATTCACTCCACACACAAACACACACACACACACGGTGCAACACATGAAAACTAGTTTGGGTTTAATTCTCATTGTGCTATGTCATGTACATTTTTCTGTTGTTGTCGTTGTTGTTGTTGCTGAGCGCTGCCTGCACAACAAAGCCAAACAAACATAATTAAGGTCTAGATATGTATTACATAATTGCCACAACAAGACTACGAACACAAAAACGCGATTGGCACACCACAGTCAAACCTCCAACTGCAACAACAATTTTACACCTTTTTCACACACACACACACACACACCCAAGACGCTGCTGCTGACAACGACCGAGAAACAACAAAAAGCAGTCCTATTATATACAAAATAGATAGTAATAATAAAAAGAAGCAAATCAACGGATTCGTGTGCTAAATCATGTACAAATAAAGATAAAAGTTGACGCGGTAAAGATTAAAACGAAAAAGCCGCAGAAATAAAAATGAAGTATCATTTTTCTCGGTGTGTGTGCTTCTCTTTCTCTCTAAATTTGTACTGAGCGTTAGACATTGACACATTCAAACTGAAACAAACATATTCAAGGAAGGTCATCCGACCGCGGAATATAATATCAATTTGCAATTTCACGAATGGATATATAAAGATATTCAGTTTTCCATTTTCATAGCGAGTATAAGATAATTATGGGAAATTCGATTTGGTGCTCATATTTCTATGTCGTCGCCATGCAATATTAAATGTTATGAGTGCGCGCGGATTGGGAAAAAATGGCAACAATAACAGCACACAATTAGATTGAGAGTAAAGATTGAGACAGAGAGAGAGAGCGCGTGCGATTTCATTAGACATCCAAATATGGTAATGATTCTGATTTTGCGTAACGCTTGTGTGTCATGTAAATTCGCCAATGGCGTGCGAATATCGAACTCATAACATAGCATAACACAACACAACTCAGCAAACCAATACACTCGCTCACCCATCAATTCACTGTCAGTCGGCCAGAGTCATTCGCTTGAGGTTTCATTTTTGTGCTGGTAATTTGGATTGGTTTTGATTTGAATCCAATAAATTCCGTATGTGTGTGACTATGGATAACGAAGTAGAAAAAAGCAAAATAGAAAAAACCGTATCGCCATGTGCACGCATTGTGTATGTGAAAGGGGTCGATATTTGGTGTCCATATGAGGCGAACATTTTGCAAATACATTGACAACGTCATTGTTAGTATATCGAAAATATCATTTTTGGTCATTTTGCCGTTGCTGTTTACGTAGGACCACCACACACACACACACACACACACACACACACACACATATCTATGAATATATTTCATTTGGTAATCGTGTGCACATTGCGTGCTATATTCGGTTTTCACATCTCCATTTCCTTTTCATTTCGCTCGCGCGACATTATCGTTCCGATGACGCTAAATGCCACATCTTGACTTGTATCATCAATCGCCCATGCAATTTGTTCTTTTACCGACATGAACGCATAATATTCACATACGATTTGTCTATTTCATTGAACATAGGTTAGCCGTTTGGTGATTTTGCACGAAGAAGCCGAAGATGGAAATGCTATGCCCGACCTCAGCCGACCGGTTCAAGCGGTTTCATCGGCTGTTGCAAATCTGATAAAAGTCGGAAAGGAAACAATCACCGCTTCCGATGATGAAATCTTGAAGCGACAAATGCCCGCTTCTTTGTCACGTGTCGAGAATGCATCGCATTTGTTGGAAGATGCGGCGGCTATGTTGCGTGCCGATCCATACTCAGGGCCAGCTCGAAAGAAGTTGATTGAAGGTTCGCGTGGTATATTACAAGGGACGTCATCACTTTTGCTCTGCTTTGACGAATCCGAAGTGCGTAAAATCATTCGCGAATGTAAACGGGTATTGGATTATTTGGCCGTATCCGAAGTCATCGACACCATGGAGGACTTAGTGCAATTCCTGAAAGATCTCAGCCCATGTTTGAGCAAAGTATCGCGCGAGGTGAGCGCCCGTGAAAAGGAGTTGACACATCAGGTGCATAGCGAAATTTTGGTGCGTTGCTTGGAGCAAGTGAAAATTTTGGCACCAATTTTGATTTGCAGCATGAAAGTGTACATTCACATTGTTGAACAAGGTGGAAAGGGTGCTGAAGAAGCATCAGAGAATCGTAATTACTTGGCATCACGAATGAGTGAGGAAATCCAAGAAATAATCCGTGTGCTACAATTGACCACGTACGATGAAGACACCAGTGAATTGGATAATTTGACCGTACTGAAGAAAATCCAAAATAGTATCATCAATAAAATGGGACCAGCTCTTGATTGGTTAGCTGTAAGTATCACAAACACTATACACGTAAGAAGAAAACGTTTTTAAATTGAAAAAAAAAAACCAAATGTATTCACCCATTTCCAAACAGAATCCGTACGCTTTGCGTGGTGGTGTTGGCGAGAAAGCCCTTCGTCAAATTCTTGACAACGCATATCGTGTGGCCGATCGTTGTTTGCCGCAAGATGCTGCCACTATTCGACGTCTGGCTGATGACATCACAAGATCTGTGAATGAATTGTGCGATTTGCGTCAAGCTGGCAAAGGAAATACCCCACAAGCTGAGCAGTTAGCACGTGACATTCGCGATAAACTTAGCAACCTTGAACGTGCCGTAACAAAAGCGGTTGTTGGTGTAGATAAAGCCGGTCATCAAGCTGCGCACACGGTGAGTTATCACATCTCTTCGAACAAAAAATTATCATTTTATTTTGTATCATATCATTGAATTTGATAATGTGTCTATCAAATTAGGTACAAGGTCGTCTTGAACAAGCTTGTCGCTGGCTTCAAAATCCAAGCATTGACGACAAAGGTGTCGGAAAGCGTGCAATCGATTTGATTATTGACGAGGGAAAGAAGGTGGCCGAAGGTTTGCCGGGCCATCAAAAGGTGGAAATCTTGCAATTGTGCGACGAAGTCGATCAATTAGCCAATCAATTCGCAAAATTGTGCGCTCAAGGTCTAGGAAACACACCAGAAGCCCAAGAAATTGCCCGTAAATTGAATGCCAAATTGCATGAGCTGAAAGGAAAGATTCAACAAGCGTTAGTCAACCGTGTCGTTGAAGATTTCATGGATGTGTCAACGCCATTGAAGCAATTCTCCGATGCTGTTAACGTGCCCGAAGGTACACCAGGCCGTGAACAAAATTTCAATCAAAAATCAAACAATTTGCAAGCGTTCAGCGATCGAGCATCAAAAACAAGTCGCATGGTTGCCGCCGGTGGATCAGGTGGTAACAAGAAAATTGCCGAAGTTCTTCTGGGCTCGGCCGCTCAAATTGACAGTCTCACACCACAACTCGTCTCGGCCGGTCGAATCAAAATGAACTATCCAGCTAGCAAAGCAGCTGATGAACATTTGAATAACTTGAAGCAACAATATGCAGACACCATTCTTCGTATGCGTACACTGTGCGATCAGGCCACCGATCCAGCTGAATTCATCAAGGCATCCGAAGAACAAATTCAAAAGTACACATTCTTATGTGAAGAAGCCATCCGTAATAAGCAACCACAAAAAATGGTCGATAACACATCGAATATAGCTCGATTGGTGAACCGTGTATTACTTGTGGCCAAACAAGAGGCTGACAATTCAGAGGATCCGGAATTCATTGCCAAGCTCAATGCAGCCACCAACAAATTGGAACAAAGTTTACCATTGATGGTGCAACATGCAAAATCAGTTGCGGCCAATATCAACGATCCATCGGCCGCCTCACACTGGCGCGAAGCAAACAAAAACCTTTTGAATGCCGTGCGTGGAGTTCGCGGAGCAATTGTGACACCACCAGAAGTGCCAATCTTGCCAGATTTAGCCGCACTCAATTTGAGACAACAAGGTTAGATTTGAAAATATCGCGATTTTTTTTTTTTCACTTTTCAAACCAATTTCCTGGAAACGTTGAGAATATACATAATTTTTGTTTTCTGCATTCTTTTAGAACAAATTCCACCACGTCCTCCACTTCCGTCCGAAAATCGGTTCACCGTTGGCGCTGCACCAGCTCGTCCACCACTTCCAACTGAAACTGACGATGAAGCAGCCGTTTTCCGACGTGCTCCATTGCCGAATCAACCAATTTTACTTGCCGCCCATGGATTGCATCAAGAAGTGCGACAATGGGACTCACAAGACAACGAACTTATTGCCGCTGCTAAACGTATGGCCATTCTTATGGCTCGTCTTTCCGAATTGGTACATTCGGATTCGAAGAGCAGCAAACGTGAATTGATTGCCACCGCTAAAATGATTGCCGAAGCATCTGAGGATGTGACCCGTCTTGCCAAACAATTAGCACGCGAATGCACAGACAAGCGTATTCGCACGGTGAGTTGAAAAACAAAAATTTTAATTAAATTTTTAGAAAGCGCATGATTGAAAGAAATGCGAATGATTGTAATTTTTTTCTATTTTGTTGATTGCTTTTACATACTTTTTTTTTGGAATTCAAACTTATAATGAACTCGTGGTTTTCACAGAACTTGCTTCAAGTTTGCGAACGTATTCCAACGATTGGTACACAATTGAAGATTTTGTCGACCGTGAAGGCCACTATGCTCGGAGCTCAAGGTAAAATTTGGACTTTTTTTTTTGAACTGAAACCTGAGTTTTCGAAGAAAACACAATTTGAAAATATCAAATTTATTCTTCATTGAATTTAAAGGTTCGGACGAAGATCGCGAGGCTACCGAAATGTTGGTTGGCAACGCCCAAAATCTCATGCAAAGCGTAAAAGAAACCGTCCGTGCTGCTGAGGGAGCAAGTATCAAAATCCGTTCGGATCAAACGAATCAACGATTGCGCTGGGTGCGACGTCAACCATGGTATCAATACGCTTAAGATCGAAAACTTCACCGTGTGAAAGCGTATAACGTGCATCATTCAAGATCATCATCAAAAACGATCAAGCAGCAAATTAAAACAACGAAAACCCAGTACTAAAAAAAGAACAGGGGGCGAATTGTACGTGCCCAATATAAACAAATGAATAAAACAAATGGATATGTGTTTGTGGTTTTAATGATTAACAAAAAAAAAAAAAAAAAAAAGAAAAATATGCCAAAACGACTCAAGTGCCTAATTTATATTTACAAAATACTATACACAAATTTTAAAATTTAAATTAAAAAAATATAGATTTTAACGATATATTTACAAGAAGAAACAAAAGAAAAACCACATATGTCGAATCATAAAGAGTTCGAGCGATCGAAAACTCAAAAGCGATTCAAATGTATTTATTGTACTTCGATACGAAAGAAAACAATATAACAAATAAAAACAATCCCTGAAATCTGTTCGAAAAATTAACAAATAACGTTTTTATATGAAAAAGAAAAAACCAACGACAAAGAGCAGCTAAATGAATTCGAAAGCAATACGAATGTAATCAACTGACATTCAAAACAAATTGTTTCTTTCTTTTTCTTCTTCTTCAATTTCAATATGGATTTATTGTTAACTTCTTAGCTAGTTTTAAGTAAAACACAATTTCATTTTGCAGCTTATCCATATAGATTTCATTTAATCGTCTTTGCAGCAAGAACGCATCATACTTTTTTTTTTGCTCGTTAATGTAAACCAAGTGCAACTTAAAAGCGTCCAATTTCTATTTTTGTTTAAATATTAGTTTTGCTTCATTTGTTCCCTTCAAATTTTGATTTAGAGAAAATATGTTTAACAATAATGCATTTAACAAATCTCATCCAGTGGCAATATTATACAGGACCAGCAATGAAAATGAATTTAATTAAGTTTAGCACATGCAATTGATTATTAATATTAACAAATCAAATATGTTACAATTTTTAGCAAATTTTTGTGTGAAACTGTTGTATAATGAAACGAAACCGAAAGAATAATACAAATGATAAAGATACAGAAAAACAATGCTGTATATTTCAGGGAACAAAATTTGCACACTTCTCAAATGAGCACTCGAAAGAGTCTTTTTTGAGAGACTCAGTTGAGAAGAGTGCAAATGCTGTTCTCTGGTATATTTGCATCTGATCGTATTTTTTTTCTCTTTCTGACCAAACTCTTACACACAGTACAAATGTAATAGTGGCGAAAACCAAATCGAGATAAAAGTATTGAATTGTTATCGAACTAAACAAGACAAATAAATGAGAGCTTTGAATGTTTATCAAAACCTGATAATATTGTAAAGAGTCTGCAGTGTACCCATTTTTATGAAGAAAAAATTAAAATTTTCAGATGGATATTGCTATCAAAGACGACTAGTGAGTTTCCATCAAGGTTTGTTCGCATATGTTATCATGACACAATTTAGCCGATATGAATAGCAATAACGGCAGAGCCAGATAAGTGATAAATAACTTAAGCTGTTTGTCTTCGAGATTATTGTCAGTCAGTCAATTGATTTGAATTCCACATTTTATCTACCGCTTATTAGAACAATGCTTTATTTGAAACAAAATCTGGTTGGTGGAACTTACGCTGTTCAACCAAGATTTGAAGTTTATTTATTTTGGACAAGATTTTCGAAAGTCGGTTACCCGTAAAAATTGTTCCTACGTAAAAAAAATGTAAGAACACTACATGAATCTACAATTGGAAACGTCATCCTGGAATTCAATTCGGCACTCCTGCCATCTTAATATTTAATCTTAATATTTATATATTAATTTTTTTCATTCAAGATGTATTAAATCGTGCAAGATGAAGGGAAACATTTCCTGAAAAATCGATTGAGTGCGTTGGAATGATCTAAGAAGATAGTGTTGTTGATATTATTGGTGTATTTTGTATAGAATGTAAAAGTTCAAAAGCATGGATTGTCTCGATATTGTATCGTTTGGGAATAATTAATATGAAAATAACTAAGGGTGTTATTAATCAATTAATCTTATTGCAGCATTAAATGCCGATTAATTCCAACTTTGAACGACGTTTTAAAGCGTTTTCGTTGGACAGCATTTATTCGCAACGACAACGATGAGTGCGGATTATAGTGTTGACAATGTTTTAATTAAGATTTCATTATCGTGGCAATTTAGTCAAAATGTCCTTGTCGTACGAAAAACATGATCATCCACTCAATTACCCGAGAATATGAGTGAAAAGAACGTCGTTCACGTTGTAGCAACGAAAAATGGGTTTCTCTGTTTTTGTCTTCGCATCCCACGAAATCATAATTGTTCACCATTGTGGCATCCCCAAAAATTGTTTTGTAATTCCTTGTATCAAAAAAAAAAAAAAAAAAAATCTAACAACATTTGTTCACTGAGAAAGAACACACTAACGAGAAAAAAAACATTAGGAAGAAGAAAACGGAGAGAGGAGCTTTGTGTTCTAGTTTGAGCAAGTAGAAAGTAGTTCAAAATCATTTACTGAGATCATTCTTAAGGCAAGTTTAAAACCAGTCATCCATCTGCAGTGTTCGCGATAAGAAAACTTTTAAACTCGCAACTAAAACTAAAACTATTCCTCGTAGGTTTTTTTTTCTTTCGTTTTGCCATATGTAGTCTACAAATCAAAGGAGCAAAACACAAAGCGTTTCCCGCTTCTGGGATGAAGAAATTAAAGAGAGAAAAACCTCCAACACACCACAACAATACAGAATATGCAGTGCAGTTGCAGTGTACAATGTGCATACGAATAGTGCACAAATTAACTATATTCGTTTTTGTCTCTGTACACGCGTTCGCTTCATCTTTTTTTTCTCTCTTATTCTCGCACTCTTTGCCTCCAATTTACTCTCTTCTATCCTCCCGAATTCGCTCTCTCACTCTGTCCTCTATCGTGTCGTGTGCTGTTTATTCGTCGAAGACGACAAAGATGGAATGAAGGGGGAAATAATAATGCCAAAGTTGTTTTGCAGTGCATACACTGGCAGCTTTTTTCCATTCAAGAACGCTTTTTTTCCAGCGCCAAGTGGATTCTATAATAACAGATGATAAGTGTAAATACGGTTTTAAGATTGCGTGCATTATGCTTGTAAATATTTACAGCATGGAAATGAAACTTTCTCAGCTTGATTTTATTGTTGCATGCGATTTTCCAGTGTTTTTTTTTCGCAAGTTATTTTCTCTGGTGTTTTCCCCTTTGGTGTTTGAGTTGTTTTTTTTTTCTCTAGCAAATAATGAAGAACATGTTTTTACCTGTCGGGCAATAATCGAATAAAACCGTACCGAAATAAAAACTCCCGCTGTGCAGCAAAGATGATTTAATATTGACGATTTCTTGGAACGCAAAATATAAACCGAAGCTGAAGATACCAACGAAGAAGCACACAGTCACACACACTTATATACATACATATTTACATACATACCTCCTTTGCAAAGCACCTAGTTTAATAAACTCAGATTGTAAATGTATATCTTTTGCGATTCGCATGAATTCCATTAGATCAAGCGGAGAGTATCCTTTCCATTTTATCGGCACAATAGCGTTGGAAGTGTGCATAAGTGTTGTGCATAAAGCAACCAAATTTATTTTTCCTTCTGTTTCTTCTAACAGAATAGTTCAACGTTGTTTTCGGCATTCGAAACATTTAACTTTTCATTAAATAACGATAAAATATTCGTCACTCTTTGCGTTAACGCTTCGAAAAAGAAATGACAATAATTCAAATACGAAATTTCAATTTGATTTATGGCAAGTGTTGACCCAAATATATAGAGTTTTTCATTTTTTTTATATCGTCATGTTTTCAAATGAAAGAAAAAACCACACAATACATTGTCTCACACAGCGAGAAAGCAAAGTTTAAAAGGTCCAAGTTACCCGTTTTGAATGCTTGGAAAATGGTGCGTAAATGTGTATTGCGCTCCAGAAAAAACAAGACCGCAGAGCGTCGCTTCGCTCTGCGTTCTTGAAATTTTAATTACTTTTCTATTTTGTTGTTTCACAACAAAATATTTTTTGGCGCACTACATGAAATTGAAGTAATATATTTATTTGCAACAAAGTACAGAAAAAAAAAATTCTCAGTTATTTCAAAAATGAATTACAAGATCTTGGTTTTATTTCTTTTTTTGAAATTAACTGCCTTTGGTTTAAATTAATTATTTATTGTTTCAGTACTCAAAAAGTATTAAGAAAAAAAAAACAAGATAAGTAGCTCTACATTTCATGTAGTGCTAAAAATGCGTTGCTATCGCCCGAATTTTCGGCACTCACATAATCTATTCCAGCACCTGTGTCTCTTTCCCCATTTTCACTCGTACATTGTGTCACTTCCGCTCGCACGAACGCTCGACAATTACAAGCATTTAGTTTCCAAGCCAAGTCGTATTTTTTTTTTATTGTTTTCTATTTATATATTATTCAAGATGCTTTCGTTGTTGATGATGATGTGTTTTACACTGAAACCACTCAGTAAAAGTCATCCCTTACGACTCAATATTTTACAACGAAGAAATTATGAATAATAATGTTCGTACGAACGACACGATCACCTATTCATACACACACACACACAACGGGGAACACCGAGCCCGAAAAAATAAGCTTATTACACATTGTAATCGCAATATTGTGGCTGCTTCATAATTATTACAGCAAGAGTGCACAGCAAAGAGTACAAACACTACATACGGAACCTAGGGGTTCCACGCAACTTAAAATTCATCTAAAAATTTCAATATTTCTCTCTTTTCTCTCACATTCTCTGGGATTCACCAAAATCCGTATTATTTCGAAATATTTCAACATTCACCTTGAAAATTATGTTCTGGAAGTGAGTTTTTGAGGATCCTCAGGATCGTTCAAAACTGCTCCCGGTTCTGGAAGTGGGCTTTGATGGATCTTCAGGATGGATCAGACTGGGTTTGACAATGGCCCTGGTCCATCCTGAGGATCCACTTCCAGAACCAGGAGCGGTTTTGAACAATCCTGGGGATCCACCAAAACCCACTTTCAGAATTTTTAGATTCAAAAAATTCTAAAAAATTTGAGTTTATGAATAAAAAGAAGCCATATCTATAGTTTACACATAAAATGGTTTTATTTCCAGCTATTTAGTAAAATCTTCGGCCTTCGAGTTTGCGTGAAACCCCTAGTACGGAACAAGCCTAATTGTGACTACGCTCTTGCAACGATGAAGCGCGATGAGAATGCACAACACGAGCACAATTCACGATTAGCACATCGCACAAACACACTCATCGCCATATTTATGGCAACAAAATCATAACAAATAAATCAAACAACAGACAATCAAATGTCTAAAGGAAGAGCTGCGAGGTAAACAAATGCCAAAGAAAAGCATTGGCATCACAACACGTCTCATCTCACAGGCGGTAAAGGTAAGAGAGAAAAACACTTTCATTCTTGCTAATTAACTGAATGCACTCCTACATTGTAATGATTCATTCGAATTAAATAAAATTAGCCAATTAGACTAATATATTTCAATTATATTTCAAATCATATTTTCAAAAGTTCTTATCTTTATTTATCACTGAAGTGATACTCAGTCCTTGCTTTTCTTCCTTCAAATCTCAATGAAAAAGTACACAATTTTAATGGTAAATATAAGAATGCAGACAACTTTATCAGCAAAAAGATATGATTGTTTTGAATCTGTAAGAAAACTACCAATTTAAATGCTTATTTAGCTTCCACCTACAAACAGCACTTATTATACAAAATGAATTTTTCGTACTAATTAATTATTCCGATGGATAATACATACATATCAGTATCGCATCCACACTTACCAAAATCGAAAATTGGAAGCCATACGAAATATAATCAATATTGAATAATAACTGCTATTCAGCAAAGAACAAAACCATGCAATTCAATCTTCATGTTTGGATGCAAAAATAATTTTAATGAGGAACGCAAAAGAAATTCAGTATCGAAGAGTGAAAAATCCACCGGAATTTTCATCATCCTTGCAATATTCTATGAATGAAATGGCAGATTTGTAGTGAAAATCAGAGATCATATAGCACGCATTTCCTAGCTGTGGAGGTCAGCTTTGAAACCACATATAGTTAAACTTGAATTCTTTTTTCGAGTAGTAATTTTGCAAGACGAATACGGATGTTTGCCCCTGCAAGACGACTAATTTTTTTTCTGAGGTCTTTGGTCAAAATTACGACTCGAAAATAGCTATAATTTCTTTCGAAGAAAAGTTTCGAAGCTGACCTCCACAGCTAAGAAATGCGTGCTATTCTAGGACGTTTGGTTGAGAAATAATAGCTCTTCAAGTGATGACTCTTCGGTTTTTGCGAGCCTACTTTCATCTTCTCTGGTGACAATATATTCCAATACAGGATATTTTTTAATCGCAAACACTCTCGACAGACACACGTTTTCAATTCTTCAAATTCAGATATTTTGAGTTATTCACCTGCTTTAAAAAACTGGAACCCGAGCGAAATTGTGACCATTATTTATCATGTGATCGGCTGAAGTTGATTCAGTTTTTTCAAGTTATATGGTTTATAATGTTCCCACCATCCAACTTTGACCGTTCTTCAGTCTGGCCAATATTAGTTTCAACACAACCCGACTTTTCGATTTTTCTCACTATTGATTTTTTTTCGATTTTTCAAGGATGTATGGCGATTAATTTTGGGAATGTTAAAGGATAAATCTGTGGAAAATTACATTTTCTTTAAATAAGCCAGAATAATTTGCCGATATTTTGATTTGTTGAAGAGTTACGCCTCAAAAACAAAATCCCTTGTTGGTGAATAACATAGTCGGCGACAATTAAGTTCTGTGTATTCAAGTATGATAGTAATTTTCAGAAGTACTTTTCACATATTGAATAAAATAGATCGAAGCGAAGCCGCTTGTGTCGATGAGCACCATATTCTTTATCAAGTTGAAGACTTTTATATGAATGTCCGAGAATGAAAACGCAACTTCTATTCACAACAAATATAAGTAAAACAAAAATAAAAAATTTATTGAAATGAAACAACAAAAAAGATTTTTTAAAAGTGTAACATCGGTATGTAGTAAGTGTAACAACATACCCTTGTTACACTTTAAAAAAATCTTTTTTGTTGTTACACTTTGAAAAAATTCGAATTTTGTTGTTTCATTTCAATAAATTTTTTATTTTTGTTTCACTTATATGTGTTGTGAATAGAAGTTGCGTTTTCATTCTCGGACATTCATATATTTCCTGTTATTTCAACATCAAAAAATCAATTGCTCATTCTACTGTTAATAATAGGTAAATAACGCAAGATTGGATAAGTTAATTGAACAAAGATCACATAGGCGGTAATGTTTTTACCAGGTTTATTTGCAATCATTCAAAATGTTTAAAATTCATTTCAATTCCTAAGTGTGAGTTGATTGAAGAATCCACCAACTGGATCAAGGGCATTGGTTCCACCTTTAAGAATCAAGGGTATCGGAGTTTTCGACGATGGTTCGATTTTGAAGTCCAATAGAATGTGGTAAATGACCGTCTTCAATTGCAACAATGCGAATCGTGATGCTGAGAAAAAAAAGATGTATGAAAAATAATCAAAAATTATTGTCCATTGACAAGCTAACGAAAAAAATCTACTACGAACCGATACATGCACGTGGCCCACTTCCGAATGGTAAATAAGTACTCGGATGAATGTTCTTTTTATTGTCGTCATTGAAGCGATTTGGATCAAATGTTTCTGGGTCTGGATAAAATTTTGGATTTCGTTGGATTCCAAATACGGGAATCCAAAGCACATTGTTTGGCTGCAGCAAAACTTTTGTTCCGTCATTGTCTTCCATTAAATACTGTTTACTAACTGCTCTGTCCATCATTGTTCCGACTGGCCATTTGCGAAGCACTTCGGAAACCACCTATCAAAGAGATTATTTATGAAATTGCTTTTGGTCGAAAACAACGACGGATTTTTTTCTTGGAATAAATTCGCCATCATCACCATATCTAGATATTTCATTCGTTGTAATGCTTCGAAAGTTAACGGTTTGCCATTGAGTTGTTCGTTCGTCTCAGTAATTTCGTCATAGAGTCTTCCTTGAATGTCAGGATTCAATGATAGCTCGTAGCACAAAAAGCAGAATGTAGTTGACACCCCAGTGAATCCAGCTAAGAAAAATATGACGCACTGCGCCACCAAATCATCATCGGTCCAGTCTAAGAAGAAACATTCAATCCGTTCAATGCATTCATTCGGATTTCTTAAATTCGATTCAAGCCAAACATGGAAAAGAACTTACTCTTCAATTTTTGCGTGGTTTTTGCGGTAATCATTTCCGAAATCGTTGCAAATCCGGTATCTTGATCGCTTTCGTTATCATTTTGATCATGTAATTTGCCCTCCTTTGCCAACAGCAGCAAGTTCAACATGTCATTGCGAACAATGTTCTTCTTCTGCCGCTCTTCGATTGTATTATGTATAACGGTGCGGAAAAAATTGTCATGTTGATCGTTCAAAATTTTAAGACCAAGCCATGTGGCCACTTTTGGAAAAGCCAGCAAAAACAATGCTTTCACGCCCATGATTGCATACGCAATTTCCTTTCCCATTTTATAGAATTCATTTTCGGGCTCTTTGAGCGTGTTTGTATCGAGTCCAAATGCACACGATGAAATGATATCATTTGTCAGACGCATCATCAAATCCATCGTATTATATTCTCGACCGTTTGTTCTTGTCTTTGACGTAATGTCATCCCGAATGTATGCATTGAAATCTCGAACTTTTTCAATCATCAGCGTTAGCATGTGTCGCATTTTGCTCCCAGTGAATAGTGGACTCATTGTGGTTCGCATATCACGCCACGACTGATTTGACATGCTGAACAATGTTCGTCCCAACAGTGGGTCCAGTTTCTTATCCAATTGAAAATAGTGATTGACAAAATAGTCAAAGTCTTTGATGGTAATATCGCGTATAAGATCCGGATCAATAACCATGAACGATGGTGTGCCGCCAATTTCATACATTCCAACAAACTTTCGGTCCGAATATTTTTGGTAGAGATTTAGCGATGAAATGGCCATTGATTCTTTTCCCAACATTGTCGGATACATTGTTCCCAGTAACGGTAGGCCTCTCTTGAACTCAACATTGCGCTCCGAAAAGTAATTCCAATTTTTAACCACTAACGAATAAAACACGCGCACAATGACCGTAATCACCAGGGTAAATAATAGAAAGCTCGTTACGCCACTGAATTCAAACATCTTCTTCGCTTGCACTACGTTTGTGTACTAAATTGGGATGAGGCGCGAATAAAATAGAGAACAATCACGACTCATTGGCTTGATTGCTATATGTACTTCATTTAAAACCAGTTTGCAGTAGCTTTGATATCAATTGATTTACCACTTGAATGATAAAGTTATAAAGTGAATAGACGTGTGTGTTTTGATTTGTTCTTTTTACGTATTTGATTTCACCATTTGCGATGTATACGCGAATTGTAGAAGATAAAAATACATTTCAATGTCAATCAATTTCTGCTCCGTCATTCCGTCATTCTTGCCAATGTTACAATCAATGTAATTAATTGTTTTGATTTGATACACGTTTCAAAGGAGACCGAAAAACAGAGGTCGATTCTCAGATGAATCCGAAGCGCCAATTTAAACAACAGCGTGCAATTTTGTTGGTGTCTTTCCATTAAAATTTGCTATTGACGTCGAAATGGGAAATAACATTAAACTGCTTAAGGGCAAATTCATAATGAAATAAAGAGGTATGGAACAGTATCAAGCGGATTGCTCACAAAATATAAACGTGCGCCAAATTGATTGGGTTGCCTGAGTGTATGCATAATCATGTGCGTGTGTGTTTGTGTGGAATTTCAGCCAATTCTTCAACAGAGTTCATGTTATGATAACCTATGCAATCGTTGTCTCTCTCGACTTTTAAACTCAGCCACGCATCATAACAAAGCTGAATTCGGTGAATTTAATAATATGTCTGCCTTAAAAAAGATATTTAAATATTCATAGATTTTGCGTTGGTTGTTGTAACAAACATTTCCTGCTTCGGTGATTTTTCAACGAGGGAGAGAGAGAGAAAGGGGGAACGTAAAAGAGAGGAATGAATTTTAGTAGAGCTACGTGAAAGATTAAAAGCTTTTGTGAGAGAGAAATGTTGTGTGTCGTGTGCGCTCACGCCGCTTGTCACCGAAATAAACGGCACTCAACAAACGACAGATGATCATTGAGTCGCAGAGTGGCAGCAGAAACAGCAGCAGTGCATCATTGAAAAATTGCACAATTGAAGAGCAACAGACGACAAATGCAATTCACAGGCAGCCGCTTGATTATGTATCATCAGGTACAGTTTGCATTCTCGATGCTTTTAAATTCGCTTGTTTGTGTTGAGGCTGATCAATGATTTTCATTTGAGTTGCTAAAAAGTAATTGAAGAATCCATTTTTTCCCCGTAATCCTTCAAAAGCGTATAAAAGCGCGCAATTGGAAATTTTCGAACAAAAATTCACACATACATATCAAATCGACGTTTGAAATGAATGTTTTTAGTGGTTTATTTTTGCCGTTGAGTTTGATTTTGAATGTAAAACGAAAAAGAGAAGAAACAAACACTGAAAGAGCTCTTCATATAGGGACGATAAGTGTTTTGTTTGCAGTTTTTTATTCTCTATCTCTCACTTTCTCCTTTCGCAACGAACGTCGTGCATTTCAAATCGTTGAACATTTGGTCAAATCAACAAGCCATTAAAAACGTGTCAAACACCGAATCCTGCTATTTCGACATCAAAAGACTTGAAAAAAAGATGAAAAGAATGATGATGTTTCTTTTATCCTCATTGATTTGCTTCCGTTTTCTCTCTCTCTCTCTCTCTCTCTCTCTCTCTCTCTCTCTCTCTTGGTTTTGTTCTTCTTCTTTCCGGCTTCATCATCACTATCGTCATTGCTGGTCCCATCGCATCGTTGTGTGAATGTCTTTTTTTTCTCCTACCGCGTGCGTTCTGTGCATGCGCAACAAACACAGAACCGTCAACCTCGTTTTGTTATTATTATTATTATTATTGAAGTGGAATACAAAACTAGTCGTCGCGATGAATACGAAATGTATGTTATTTTCTCGTTTGCCGTCGTATTAAAATTGCAGATATAAACAAATGTGTGTATTAGCTACAGTAACTGTTGGCAACACGTTACAATGAACTTTTTGAAGGGGATGAATATTTCCAAACAATTTGGTATTGTCGAAAAAAATTCCCTTAATTAGCCATTTTTAAAAACATCAAGGGCTTATGCAAAACGATTAAATTGTGAAGGAAACGAGGGAAATTTCCTAAAAGGAAAGATTGCCGACGAGCTATGGCTTTAAAAGAAATTGGAATACCGATGATGCGCTTCTGATGGAACGAGATCCAATCGAGACCGAAGAAATTCCCTACTCTCATCACTTCACCGCTGAATCGGGAAAACTTAATCTTCGGCATTAAAATCATTAAAATATCTTGATTTGAGTTGAGAGAGAGGGGGGACCATAAAGAAACCAAAACAATTTTCGGCTTAAAGATTAATCTACTTTTTATGTGCGCCAATGTCAAAGTCGTCACGCAAATATAAGAAAAAAAAAAGAAAAAAAAGAGTAATTGTTTGTTTTTTGCTTGGTACGAATCGAATGAACGGGCTGAAATGCGTTAGCCGGAGTCTATTTTTTATTTTTCACCCAAATAAGCCAAAGTGTAATCCATATGTCAGCATCAGCCTATACAAATTCTTTTTCTACTACTGCGTTTGGGGTCTGTGTCGTTTCGAAGTTAATCAGACTGTATTTTTCGACTGTCGCTGGCATGCGACACTAAACTGATATGAAAAATATTCACATTTATGTGCAGCAATACCGCTTTTTTGCTCTCATATTACACAATGCAGAGGCAAAGCAGCGTGTACAATTACGCTGAATGTTAGATGGGATGTTGTTGTTGAGACAACGAGCAGTGCCGCGTGAGAAGTGCACATTTGAGCACACTTTACGCTATCTTTTTCTCTCGCTCGGTTGGTGTAAGGAAAAGAAAAGTAACAACACCAGCATCAGCACCAGCATCTGCAACAACAAAATGTGGAGTTTTGGTTGTAGAATTTCAAACGCCGTACAAATACAACCCAGTCGGTGAATGCATGCATTTTCCCCAACATTGTACATCTCTATAGAAATGGTTTGATGTATTGAAGCCGCAACACGCACACACGTACACACTCACATCGACAAAGTGAGAGCGACTTGGCTTATGTCATGTCGGATAAAGCAGAGGATTTGGTCTTCAGCAAAATGAAAACAGAGATGATTATGGTTTCTCGTCACAATGCGAATAATGGGCAACATCGACTTTGACTACCACTGGAAATAGCCATTTTACTTTGCCTTCTGCATAACGCGTAAAACGCCAAATTGAAGAGCGTTCTCTTTCTCTCTCGCTCGCCATTTATTGTTTCAACATTGAATTTCATGCGATTTGCTCCTCGTGCGTGGTTAAGCACAGCACACCATCATGCTGAGCAAATACAACGCGAATACAAATGTGTGTATCTCTTCTTCTGACGGCAATATGCACGTGAACATTTGACAAAACACGCGCATTGGCAATGTTCTTTCCATCTAACCTACCGTGGCATTCGTCAATGTGCCGAAGCATGTGTATGTGTATGTGCATGTGTAGATTTGTCAATACAAAGCAGTGTTTGTAACCATAGCCGTATTTTGCTTTTCACTCTCCGTTACGAAAAGGGGGACTTTTTCCATCCGTATTGAGAAAATCACAACACAGCAAGTGCGCTCTTTGTGTGTGCATGATGGAAAATATGGAGCAAACGCGTGGAAAGGACATCGGAAGACAGTTGCGTCGAATGTGTTGCCCCCTCGTGTGAGTGTGAGTGTGTGTGTGTGTGTGTGTGTATACGTGTATACTAGTTTTGGAGTCGATTGAATTGAATGGTGTTTTATTTTTACCGTTTTCAATTTTAGTACCAATTGAATCGTTCTACGGTGCGGGCAAAATGCACGCTTCGCTGCATCCACATCACGAACAGCAAGACCTCAATGCTGTTGTTGTTTTAAATTGAAGAGATCCGAACTGTGTACACGTTTGTGAATTGAAATGGTCTGTTTTCAAGGGAATCATAACTTTTTGTTTGGTTAATCGCTCAATTGTGTTCAACATCACGCTCAAATTCTAGAACCAAAACTAAGAACGGAAACAGACTGAATTGCAAAAACTGGAAATCGAATTGAAATTAACTGTGTTTTTAAGTGCAAAGTGGAAATTGTCTCATTGAAGAAAAGCAAAAGTGCTGAAACTCAAGTTGCCCCAAACAAACAAACATTCAAAACTATCCCGGGAGCAAAATTGTGTGTATTTTATTTGCATCCAAACAGTTCTCTTAAAGTGACTGTTTTATCATCGTTGCCATCCTCATTCCCGAAACAACCGCGCCGAAATCTAAGTGAGTAAAAGCGCCATTTACCTTTTTATTGACTAATTTCAGCAAAGTTTCAACAAAATTGTGTTGTTTGCAATGGGAAATTGAGCAGCAGTTCAAGTTGACTACAACAGTGAATCTATCTATCACGAATGCAAAGCACATATTTCACAATTCAAGAGCATCTTTGTTATTTTTGTCTATCAGACGGTTACATCGAAAATCCATGAACGGAAAGCACATATTGAACTGAACACACACGTACAAGTATAAAACTATTCGCCGAAGTTTGAGTATCTATCAAAATTGAATTGTGAAATGCGTCAAGAATCAATGTGAGAATGCCATTCGGGAAGATTGAATGGTGGAATTGAAAAGTAACAATGAGACATAGAAGAAGCACAAGCAAAAATACTGATTGTATGAGATGGAATGTGGGAGATTACGTTAAAAACATAAACAAACATGAGCATGAGCGGCTCCTCTATATAAGCAGTAGTAGCATATAGCAGAACGTTAACCTTCATTAACAAACGTTTTCCAACCAAATGTACATGCGAACACAACGATACATATTTATGTATGTAAACAATACAATACACACAATTCGTTGTTTTTCAACGATTAAAGATTTATCAGTCTTCCATGTCAAAATCTTAATTGACGTTGCGGCTATATGTTCCTTTGCGAACTCGCAAAAGCACGCACACACATACAGAGACACATACACTGCCAGGAAAGTGCCGCGGCATTTTTAATGTAGTTCTATGTGAGAAGAATGTGAAAAAAATAAAAGGAGCACTGAATCGAACTGATGCACAGTGGTTTTTATCGGAAAAACGTAGCAAATCTTAAGTCAGACCGACTTTTTTTCTTTTCTCCTTCGATCTGTATTGTTTCTGGTATTATTATTTATCTATGTGAATCGAACGCATACTCAGCCATTTCTTCGTTTAATGATATGATGCGGCGACGAGATGAAAATTAGGAAAAGAGCGAGAGAGATGAAGGAAAGTGAACGAGAGTGCGGCGTGTAAATTGACATAAACATTTCCGAGAGAGTAAGAGTATATCATTTTGGCCCATCAGTCGGCCTCCAATGGAAATTGGAAGATGAACCACATTTGCGAGACATTGAACGGAACAGGAACAAAAAAATTAGCAACGACAACAAAAAAAGAAAGAAAAATCACAACAAAGAATAAAGGATCGAAAAGAAAACATTCCAATGGAAGCGAACAGAAAAGATTGAGTTGCGGAGAAAAAAAAAACATTTTGACAACGACCACAAAGGACGAATGAAAGATAGCAGCAGCAACAATAGCAACAGTAAAATGAAGAAAAAAAATGTTTCTGAAAATATTAGAGAAAGTATCGCCTGTGGCCGTATACGCATCGATACTAAAAAAAAACATGAACGCTTTCAATGGAATGGAATGGCAGTGACAATGGAGCTCAACTTCCATTTCATCCGTCGATTTCAAGTGTATCCTGTTCCCTTTATTTTCTTTCGCTCTGACTTGTCTCGACACGACCCGACTCGATTCTCATCAGAATAAAATCACAAACGAACACAAAACGAGAGAGAGAGAGAGAGAAATTCGAGAACACACCAAATAAAAATAATAATCATAAAAAACTACCGAAAGCTATCAAACTATACACACATAAAATTTGACATAACACCCAAAAGTCGCTCGGAGTCAAGTGTGTGCGACACACAGCACACCATCGACGACAACAACAACAACAACAACAAAAAAAATCTCCATTCGGATATGTAAACATAAACGCACACGATTTATCACGAACGCAAAAGAGAAATCAACGACAGAGAAAAATACAGGACCAGAAAGAGAGAGAGAGAGAGAGAGAGAGAGGGAGAGAGGGGGAAAGTGGCAGCGACAGCGACAGTCTGTGCTCTTCGACATGGTCGTCGGGCACACAAAACACAAACATTTCCGAACAGTTTGACCAAAAGGCAATAAGCAACGGTTATTTAACCATTAATTTATATAATACACTTCGTTTTTTTTCTCTCTTCTCATGTATCACACACACACACAATTGCCTTGCTGGTTTGACTCAGTTCGGTTCTGTATCATCCCCGTACACAGTGCGACTTGGCTGATATATAAATATAAAGTGACACATAAACATATTACCTCAATTCAACCAATCATCAAATAATACCAGCTTTTGTCGTTTGTTATCCCGTGTATACTGCCGTGCTTCTTCTTCAGCTCTTATATGTGTCTCGGCCAACAACGTTAACAGCAAAAGAGTACGGCTGAATCATCGCTGACGTAACGTTGCGGCCAGCTTCTACAACTTTAAGTTTTAAATATTACCAACTTTTGTCGTTTCACTTGAAATTTCCATTTGATCGTGGCCGTTGCTCGGCCATCGGTCACACATCACTTGCTCGCGCGTTCGCTCGCTTTTTGATGATAGACTTGTACTTCGGTGATGTATTTTGTTGCCACCAATTTTAATGCTATTCCCCCACGAGCGACCCTCCTCGTCACTTTGCCCTTTGCTAATTTCATTTTGTCACGTATCAATCGACAGTTGAAACAAAAAAATATATATATATAAGCAGTAATTAAATACAGAAAAGTTCAACCAATATCTGTGCGGTGAGATCAACTATACATGGTACATCATTGGCAAAGCAATAGCAACAATGAAAACAATCGAAATGCGACGTGCCATCGCATTCGAGGTGAAGGGAAGTTTCGGGTTCTCGATAAATTAAAAATGGAAAAGTATAAATTTAGACGCGGTGGGAAAAATGGTTGAATTTCTCTTCCATACGGGAAAAGATCCGTTCGACAAACAAGGTTTTTTTCTCCGCTCATCTCTCTTCCTCTCTAAAAAAATACTGTGTAATGTTTGGCATACAATGGAATGTGTGCGCCGCCATTTTTCATTTTGTCCCGCAACAAAGTAACGAGATGGAGCAGAAGAAAAGAGAAAATCGATCCACAATAAAACTTTTCGATAGACACAATCGATGTTTGCTATTGATTTTATGCTAGATAAATTAACAAACTACCGCTTTGTTACTCTCTCTCTCTCTCTCTCAGTGCATATAGACATTTCTTCTGTGGCCAATTGAAATATCACGGGCTAATCGACGAATAAAAGCGGTTCCATTCAGCACAAAACTCGGGCTCACGAAAAGCCAACATTTTGATTTGCCACTTTTGATAAACAAAAAAAAGCACATACACATGTGTACATAAAAAGAGAATGGCACTGTTTGTGCTCGTTGAACTGCGATTAATAATTTATTATATTGAATCCATGCATTTGATGTAGAAATAGAGACAGAGGGGTTATATGTATACACAGAGGAAGAGAGAAAGAGATGGAGATTGTGTGTGTGTGTAACTTTGTTTAATTTTCAAATGGAATGGCATTCATTTTCCATTGTTTTCGAAGTGAAGTTTTATTTGTTTGGCATTTTTGCAGCTTGTGCGTCACATATGTGAATGCATTGGCACAAGCGATATAAAATGTGGTTTTTTTCCGTTATGTTATTGGTTTTTGTTCACCAGCCTCCCCCCGGTGTCATCGTTTTTGTTCGTTGTATCGCTTCCACTTTATTTATTGTCCATTGACTGTCTAATTGGCATTCCATGCGCACACAATGCTGAACGAGTATATGCCTCACGAAACGCATTTTAAAAATTCATAAATGGAAAATCTGACCAATTTCATTATACGATAGATTCGAAAACGGGAAATTATAAATGGCAAAACTCTAGCTACCTAAAAAAAAAAAAATTAACGGTGCAGCCATACTGTACTGCTTGGCCAAAGAGAAAATAAATGGATATTTGGAATCGCGACTGGTCGCCAGCGTTGTTCGGTAACTGAATGAGATTAACACCGCGGTGTGCACGCATGCATAGCATTTCGATCAATTTTGAGTGTTTTAAACTTGAGTGTTTTACATGTTTGGCGCAAAATACTTGTTCCAAAGATGCATTTTAAAAAACTCGCAAATCGCGAGTACGCGTTCCGTGTTTTCGCAACTCCTTTTCCCTCTCTTGACACGTGAAGCTCACTCAAGACAAGGAATCAATGGCATGAGCTCGACCGGGTCATGATCCCGAAAAGTACATACGAAGTGAAACAGTAGCAGCAGAAACAACAACAACAACCGATATGGAACTATTCATAAATTATGAATTTTATTCACATAATGCTATTTCTCTATCAGGGTTTTCCACTTCGTGAAAGTGATATTCATTTGTGACCCAGTGAGCACAATGCACAATATCATCTCTCTCATCGGAACGTGGCGGTGGAATTTATTTTTTGGTTGAGGCTGTACCATTTGCTGAGATAGAGGAAGAGAGAGAGAGAGGGAAGTACGAGGCAATGAGCAAAAAGTGAATCGAAGCAACGGAGCAAAAGGAAAATTACATCCGTTCCATATTTTCGGTAGCATCTGATGATTCGCATTATCATTCCCGGTGTTTTACAATTGCGCGAGAGAGAGCAAGTAACATTGCTCTGGGTGAATGTTCAATGTTGGTTCGTTTTGGTTCGTTTGCCAACCGTTGTTGATTTGGTGCAAGCGAGCGCATGCACGTGGATTTTCACGAGCAATTTTAAATAAATTTACATCATTATTATATCATAATATCGTACGTCATATTTGATTGGCACCGAATAATCTCGCATATCTCTCCGCGGCCGATCATCGTCGTCGTCGTAGTCGTCATTTTGGCATAACGTAAAAACGAGCGAAACGCAAATGGAAATCGAATGATTTGGATCGGATATATTAGTCCTAATTTTCATTCAACACCATTATATCGATGTCGGTGAGGGCTCTTTTTTGCTTTGTCGTTTTTGCGTCGAACAAATGTTCATTGTATCAGCTTATCGATTTCTTCATCAATACTTGAGTGTTCATCAGCAAATTTTGCTGCACACCTAATCAATCCCCATCGAATCGCCAATGCTAAATAATTCACCTGAATTTTGATTCAATTGTTGTTTATTGC